ATCAGCCTCTATAAATAATTCTCGCATTCGTTCGCGCTATTTTCATTTGGTTAATGGAAATATCACAGGATGTATCGGATAGCATTACCTCGTTGATATTTCCGTTCTTTCCAGTAACCTTCTGATTTTATCAATCTTGCATAATGATGATGCAACGCAAAAGGCTGCAAAGTAAGGCATTAGGAAGTATATAAACATCACTTTTTCTCAAGCTTGCGAGTTTAGATTAGTTAAGAGGGTAAAAATATCAAAGGGGCAGGAAATATTGTGCCTCTCTCGCATTTCCGTTCGACTGATAATCAACTCGCACTTTACGTAACAATAAAGATCAATAAAGTATAATAATATATCTTCGCGAATCATTCGCGTCGCCAAAATCGCTCTGTTAATTCTATTCGATGCCGCATCAGGTGTTCTCCACTCGATTTAACGAGTACGTGAATCCTCTAGTGTCCATTTATACCAATGTAGATTAACTTTAATCGCGGTTTAACTTGCTTTTCATCTTTTTCTAGTTCTTAAAATTAGAGAAAGATAAAAGGTGAGTTAAACTAAGATCACACAGTTAATCTGCGTTGGTAGAAACGGACACAAGTTTCAAAAAGGTCTTTCTTTAACAGCGTACATTCGTGTTTATCGAAAGTATTTTCTCGACGGCAGAGACGTGTCATACTCCCGCTATGATACTGCCCATGGCAACTGACACACGTACAGCTGTTCGTATCGCGAGGACACGCACGCACGCACGCACACGTGCGTCGCGTTGTTCGGAGGAGGAAAAAGATCCGGCGTGCTACCTGCGCCTGAAACTGCCCCGGCAGGCACAAAGAAACGAGCGGCGGCGAATAGTAGTGGCTCTCGGGAGAGCCGGGCCAAGGAACACTGCGGCGAAGAGAAGCGAAGAAAGAAGAGAGAGAGAGAAAGAGAGAGAGAGAGAGAGAGAGGGGAGACGAAAGAGAGAAAGAGAGGGATCAACGACGGACGACGAGAGATCTCGAGGGAATTACGCGTGGCGGACCTGATCGAGGCACCGTAAGAAAACGAGGCAGAAGAAAAAATATCGAGGACCGAAAGTAAGCAAGCGAGAAAGAAAGAAAGAAGCGGATATCGACAATATGTTGCGCAGGGAATTACATATACGTATAATACATGTGATAAAAAAATTACATATAAAATACAATAAAATCATACATTAATATTATGTAATTCTTTTCTTTGTATTTTTCTTTCCCCTTTTCTTTCTTCATCACTTTGCGTGATTCTTCAACACAATATTTCTTAACGTTTAAATTTAATCGACTTATAACGGCCGGAACATCGATTGTGAATAAATTTATAACGCGTTTATACCGTTAACATTATTGATGTTGACAAAAAATTGCGTTGAATCGGGAAAAAATACTACACGCGTGGATTAGAAAAAATTCTTGAATATAACAAAAATTCGTCTAAAAACCGAAACCTATAAGAGAGTTTGCACTGTCGGTGCATGGGAATTTCGCGAAGCAATTAAAGAACAGGAGAAAAAAAACTGACTGGAAAAGCTTCTTTTTTTTTATCATCGTCGACCGCCTACTTTGCAAACGTGCTTTTTACAACTTTTATAAAAATACCGTCGTTTTATCTATCTTATTACTTTACGTCGATATCCTCGCGTTTGCTGTTATCATTACGATTGTATTTTCTCCCCTCTACGATTTCTGTTTAGTCACACGCATTCTGGCGGGTCTTACCACGAATAATAAAATAGATTCCTTTCTCCATCTTGCCTTCTCTCGCCGCCTCTTTCGTGTGTTTCGATCTCTTTCTTTCTCTCCCCCCCCCCCCCCTCTCTCTCTCTCTCTCTCTCTCGCTGCCTACCGCCGCAGATGGCTGTCACTGTTCCACTTTACGGGAGCGCGATTTCCCGAGATATCCTCTACCTACTATACTACTACACACCACCTCCGCCACCTCCTCCCGTCTCTCCCCCACCGTTTCTTTCTCGACTGCTCACCGCGGTATGCCAACCTTCCACTCCACCATATTTCTCTCGTGTACTCGCACGAAGCAGCGGCGGCAGGAGGTGGTGTAGTGGAGGTGGATGGATCCGCGCTGCGGCCCCCACGGACGCCTACGAGAGCATACACGTATACAGGCGGTTTCAGGAGGATAGGTCGATACTTCGGGGCAGGAACGCTGCCGCGGGGTTATCGGTATACTCGAAGCGAAACCGGGGGGAGAACGGACCTCTCCCTCGGTCGGAATTTCCGGCGGAATCTTATTTATAAGTCGGCAAAACGTCATCACTCTTCCGGAGATTTTAAATAGCATCGCTATCTCGAAGTGAAGCGTATGAAATGTGTTGACAGAAGGTATGTGGAAGATGTACATGTGCGAAGAAAAATTTTAACTGTATAAAGTACTAGGCTTGCATTTTAGGTCTGTTTCATTTTCGCACGCTTATCTCCTTTTATCGACTAGATTATCGTGGCAAATGTATCGGTATGCTATACGCGTGAATACTTAATAAATATATACGCGGCGATTTACGCGCGTTGAATATTATAAAATATCTGAAGTAACAAAAGATCGAGAAGAATAAGATATCTGCGTTGGGAAACTTGAGAAACTCCGCGACTGATAAGATAAACGGAATGGCGACGTTGTGCTATTGCGAAAAAAAATGTTCGAGGAGCTCGCGTGTCCAATTTCGAATAATCTTCTACAATCGCGCATCGCGATTTGATAATAAGGGCCAAGAGGCATCTCAAATTTAACGCTTCAGCATTCCGAGCTTATAGCGTTCCGAGCGATAATAATGAACGAATAAATTCGCAATTTTTACATTAAAACAGAAAACTAAGAAAACGATGAGATCGCCTTTTTCGTGTCTCGTCTGTAAATTCCTCGAAGCAAAATGTCACTTTGTCTCGGAATATAATAATATCTAAGGATACCCAAGGAAAATATCTACCTAAGAATTAAGATAATAAAGTTATCCTTTTTTTTAATCTGATACGACGAATCGAAACACACCGAGCGGTTTTACATACAGATAATCCTAAAAATGTGGCCTAAAATAACACGACGCTTCGTTTCCTTTATCTCTTTCCGAAGCAATCGACTGCCGCGTCTGGGACACCCGGTATACCGTGCACACCGGGTGTATATGCACTTCGCCCCCCCCCCCCCCCCCCTCTCTCTCTCTTTTCTTCCTCTTCCACCTCCTCTTCTCAGCGTCCAAAAGTGCACAGGCACGAAGGACGAGTCTGCACACGTTCGTTCTCTACCCGGGTCTCTATTCTGCCTTCCCTCCCTCCCTCTCATTCCCCTCTCGCTCTTTCGCTTCTTTCTTTACGGAGCCGGAGCATGGGGCGAGGTCCGATTCGAACGCACGTCGCGCTCGTGGGAAAAATAGAAGCGACAAGCGAGAGAGAGAGAGAGAGAGACACGCACCACGTCGTCCCCGGGCCTTCTGGGCGTCGCGGCGACGGATCTCTCCTTCGCCTCCACCTTCGGTGACGTTCCTACTCCGGATAATCGCCGCCCGACCGGGGAGGGCGACCGCGCTCACGAAAAACGAACGTCGGCGACGTGTGACGTGTGACGTCGCCGGATATCACGAACGTTTCAGCTGACCGACGATAATTCCTCGTGATTCATCCCGCTCCTTTGCGTTCCTTTGCGCCCGCCCGGCCTGTGGTGCCGTCCTCTCTGCCTCGGTTCATCGAGTACTTACGCGTGTTTCTCGTCTTGTCTCGTTTCGTTTCCACGCGCGGAGAACGTGGACGAAGTCGACCGCGGTCAAGAGACGCGGGCGTTATTTCGCCCGATTGAGACAGAGAAAAAAAAAAGAAAAAAAAAGAAACGGGATAAGAGGCAAGACATGTCGCGATCTGTCTTTAAGAGAAAAAAAAAGTAAGTATGTGAAGCGTTATGCAAACGGCGATGAAACAAGTGTACAGGTATTGTATTGCGTCGTCCTATAAATAATGCGGTACAAAAGGGAGCTTGATTTATTCTTCAGAACCGAAAGACCCTTATCGCCAGGGAACTGAAAATTTAACATTGAAATGGGGAAAAAGTTGTAGATAATAATGGGCAGTACATTTTGAAACCGGGAAGTATATTTAGAATGAAAATTAAACTGTAAAAGTTTAATGTAAAAGTTTCTGTTTTGTGTTTCAGGATATATCTTTAAAAGACCGTGTTATTTATTTATGGGATGGGATCCGATGCGTAAATCGTGTGACTTTTACCTCCACGTAGTGCGACTTTGCATACTTTTTTCCGCGTAACGTTGAATATTGTGCCACGTTTCCCCAGTACTTTTCCTGCGCGAGGTTCTCCTCCGGTCGGAGTGCGATCGTTGCCGACAATTGTCCCGATTTAGGAGCGGGGAGCGTAAAAAGGCGCAGTTTAAAGCCTCAGAGGTGCGATCGAGATCTCCGATCTATTCTCCATCGCGACTTTCTCTTCGAGTACCTTCTCGGACGAACTTTTGTCCTTTTTTTTGGCCTCGCTGAAAGCCAAAGAGCTTCATCGCGAGATACGATAAAACAGCGCGGTGAAGCAAGCCATGTGAAAAAAGGGCTGCGATCTTCAGTCACACGCTTTTGTCAGTTGAATGTTAAGTCAATCAATAAATCAATCTTTATTAACTTATTAGCCAAGAAATGTGAAATCTTAATTTACAAAAAATAACTTACTCATACCGTACGCTTATTGTCGGTCACGATTATTACATCCGTGGCCTCCGTCATCTGTTTTTCTCTCCGCTCCGTTTTAAAACGCGAGGGCGATCCGAAGGATCCGCGATTCCGGATCCCCAGAGTTGTGTTTTTCGTCACGACGAGCGAGTATTGCCCCCCCCCCCCCTAACCCCGTCTCTACCTCAACTCGAAAGAGAAATTCTCGAAGGAAATCGCCGAAAAATCGCGTCGACAGAATCCCCGACGAAAGGGGCGAAGGGGAAGAGGGAAGGGAGGGGGGAGAGGGAAGAATAAGAAAACCTTCACTCACCTCTCGCGATGCAGCAGGCAGATGCGCTCCTTGGCGACCTTCAGCTTCTTGGAGATGATCTTTTTGAGATTCTCCACGGTGTCGTTGCGGTCCACCGCGAGCTCGAACTGGCCGCCGGTGGTCGGCGTGATGCACACGGTGATCTCGTCCCGGTCGGCGGCCGCGGCCACGCAGCCACACCCCGGCTGCGGGGCCGGCGGCAGCTGCGGCTGCGGATGCGGCGGCGGCGTCAGCGGCTGCGACGACGACGACGTCGTCGTCATCGTCGGGCAGGAGGTAGTAACAGCATCAACGGCGGCGCGGGGTTCCGGGGACGCGGCCCTTATCGAGCCCCGGTTATCGCGGCGGCACTCGACGGCGGCGTCGCCCGTGGTAGGGGCGGCGGGGGCGGCACTCGCGTCGTCATCGTCGATCGTCCGCATCTTCGAGGCGGCGGCGGCGTCGTCCGCGCTCTCGCTTCCCATCGCCGCTACGTCCGACGTTCGCGGCGGGCCCGCGGTGTCGTCCATCCTGCCACGGTGCCGAGGGGGGGGGGGGGGGGGAACCTCTGCTAAACCCGTCGATCGAGCGGCACTGCACGCGCGCGAGGACGGTAACGAGGAAAAAGAACTTTCGACCCGCGCGCACACACGAGGACGAGGAACGTCGGTCGGCCGCGCTCCGCGCTCGCGACTACACTCTTTCCGCCGCTACGCGCTCGCGTGTACGTCTGCCGTCTCCCCCTCCTCCTCTTCTTTCTCCTTCTTCCGCTCCTTTTCTCTTCTCGCTCCGCTCGCCCGCCGTCGACTGCTTCTTCTTCTTCTTCTTCACCTTCCTCCCCCTCGCCCCGCTCGAGGGACCTCGCGCTCTCCTACGTGCCCGTCGTCGTTACCGCCGTCTATATGCATGCACCTGCACCTGTACTCCTCCCGGCGCGTCCCGCCACCACCGCCACACTGCTCTTCGCCGTCTTCCTCCCTTCTCGCCGCCCCCCCGCGCGCACAGCAGAGCGTCGGGCCGTCGGGCGAGCGAAGGCAGCCGGCACCCCGAGGAGAGCGGCCGCGCGCACGCGGCGAAGAGGTGGCGGCGGACAACAAGCGACCGTGGGAGGGGCGGGGAGTCACGCCGCGCGACGGCGAGAGACGGGCGGGAATGAGGGGGGAGCTACGCTACGCGCGAGAGAGAGAAAGAGAGGAAAGCGGAATTCGTGGCGTCCGGCACGAGTGGCGTGCACGAGGAGATCCGGCACGGTGGCCGACGACGACGGCGACGAACGCGATCGATAGCGACGCGCGATAAAGTATATTTTCCTCGGAGGCCTCGCTTAGCCTCGACAGAGAACACTGGTCGCCGCTTCGTTCCTCCTCCTCCGCCTCCCGCTCCTCCTTCTCGACGGCACTGTGCGACACACACGTATGTGCATACATACAACGCGACGAGTCTTCTCCCCCCTCACCGCTTTCTCTCTGTCTCTCTCTGGCTTACAAGCGGCTGACTTCGGCGTTCCTTCCTTTCTTTCTTCCTTTCTCTCCGTCTGGCGTTTCTCCTACCTCGAGACCATTCGTCTCTCCTTTTTTTCTCGTATATGTGTGTGCGTGTATCTCGCTGGCTTTCTCACGCGCTCGCGCACTCCACGTATGTATTTCACGACACGCACGTATACGCACGCACCCACGACGAGACGACCCACCCTCGAGCGCTCGAATCCTGCGACTAGCAACCGAACGAAAACCGGAGTCGCCCCGGAGCTTCTGCTAGATTCCCAGACCCCGGCGGTCGCCGTACCCGTTCCCCGTTCCACGAACGAATGCGCGCGGTCGAAGTGACGCGAGGCGAGCCGAGTCGAGCCGAGCGGCCGGTCGCCGCGGCCGAGCCGAGCCGACGCGAGCCGAGTCGCGCCGAGCGGCGATCGCCGCGATTTATCCGATTTAATTTTGTCCGGCCACTTTGATCGAACTCTATTAACTTATAAATTGACTTGTAAATTAACTTATGCTCGTCATATTTTGTTAACGCGGATAGAATAATTAATTTTTTATTGCTTGATATGTGATAAAAAAAGATTGGATCACAGAGATAACGAATTTATGTATCGTAGTTAAAAATTTTGCTTTAATGCCGATTTGTGGTTCAGTTAATCGCCGATTAATTTAATTTAATTTCTTTTCGCTATTGTTAATTTATCTTAAAGCTATTAGTTGCTGTTAAGCATTAATTTATTAATTACAGCAAGAACAGCGTCTTGAATGTTTTTCTAAAACGATTGTGCGAGTTTATTTTCCGTTTTCAAAAATTAATTTAAAAGTTTTTAATATGATATTTTGCAGCACGCATTTTTCTTTTATAAAACGATTTATATTTATATTTATAATAATTTATTTATATCTATATACATATATGTTTACATGTTCTTTGAAGCTGTTTTGGTAAAAATTAAATTAAACGGTCTATTTAATTTTTTTATGTATGCTTCTTAAATTCTTATTTCTAGATTTTAGCACCAAAAAATTATCGAGTTATTGTCCGCACTTTTGGAAAATATATTTGAAACTCAAGACCAAGCCATACATACAGGAAAATATGAGCAAAGGTAGAATTAAACTGCCAAACTGCTCAGTTTATAACGATCCATTACAAAGTGTTCTTCTTATAGCGACTCTTCTAAAATGGATACCAAAACTCCCAAGCTCCCCAAGCTTGACATTTAAATTCATTTTCCAAATGAGCGGACATTATAACTCGATAATTTTTTCCAAACTCAAGACCAAGCTATATATACATTTGTTCAAACCAAATTAATCCCGGCTTATGGAATAGTCATTGCTGCAGGAATACTAGAAAAAGCAGTGCTTAGCCCAAGATGCATTTTGTTTGCTGAATACCATGCCGATATAATGAATAGGTCATTTATGAATTTTGAAAGAACGTTGCAGATTGCCGACGAATTATGTGGATCTTCTTTGGGTAAAACATCAACTAAATTTTTTGCGTTTTGTCTTATTGTCAACACACATATAAAATTTTGTTTTTTTTTATTATAAATTTTCTTTTTTATTATATTCTTTTGTTATTATACTTAAAATCCTAGATGAACTAAATATATGCGTGCTTCCACGCAACATATCAACAAAATTAATAGATCATCCAAATATGTTTATGTCGAGTAATTCAATTGGCGCAAGTAAAGAATATCAAACCGAATTACTCGCTAAGTACATCTCAAACATGAGTTCAGAATATTATTTGATCACTAGCGGAAACTATAATTATACGTGGTTACACAAAAGTTTGAGTAGATTCTTGTACAACAAAATTATCAACCAAAGTTCGATTATAAGTGCGGAAACAGAAGAATTTTTAATAACGGAACCAAAACGCAATTTAATAAAAAAGGTAAAGTATTAATGATTACTCACACACGTACACACACAAAAACACACACTGTGTTATTTATTAAATTATATTACAGTTTGAAAAGAATCAACATAATTTAGAGACTTTAGTACCAAAATACTTGGGCAGGGTTTGTCCTAATACATATGAAGAATATGTTCCTTATGAATTAGGAACAATATTTTTCGAAAAAGTAGAACAAGTAGGACAAAGGGTATTCATTATATTCCTAAAATCATCGTGGATATCGCCGAATTTAAAACTCCCAAGCTCCCCAAGCTTGACGACCAATTTCAAATTTAATGTCTCCTCCGAAAGATAGCCCAGTTTCTCCGCACGAGCCCCACTCGTGCGGGGGGTGCAGTTTGGAATATAAAAATTCCTGTGATGGAGGTGGACTCGAACCCGGTTCCTCAGAGTTACGAGTCTGGCGCTTTACCACAAGAACACGCTGCCACCCTTTAAGTATTTCATCAATAACTTTCTTTCTTTTTTATGAAGTAAGTGAATGTCTGTTATACAAACTGTCACACGAAGTAAAAGTAACTGTAAACTGTAAAGTACTAACTGTCATACAAAGTAATTTATTTATTAGGAAGAAAAAGAGTAAGTATATTTCTCACTTTCGTCGAAATTTTTCTGGAAATTAAAATAAAACATTGAGGATAAAAGAGAATGGGAAGAAGAAATCGTGATATTACGACCCAAATATTTGTTCTATGTTACAAGTAAAAAACAAAGAAAGTCGCGAATTTTATATACGTTGTATGATAATAGAAATTAGAAAAATTCCGAAAACTTAGACCTATAAATATATTTTTAAAAAATTTAGTGGAAGAAAAAAGTGTTGCATTATTTCCTAAAAGATACACCATAAAAAATAGAAAAAAAAAATTCTAAATCAATCGACAATTTTTTGTATCAATAAAAATTTCCTATACTGTTCTCGACATCCTTATCTGATATAAATGGAATCCGAAAGGAACCTAAAAAATATTTGAATCAATCTTTAATACAATTTTATATCTATATAAATATCTAAATAAAGATTTATGGAAATTGATGAAAATTGGATTCAAAATTACTAACTTCTAAATTTCTCGGGTTTAAGCGTTCTGGAAAATTCTTGTAAAAGTACAATAAAGGATTTAATCAAGTAATATCGTTAATTACTTACACAAGCTCGATTAGAAAAATCTCTTTATTTTTTACAAAATATCTTTGCACTTATTAGCCTCATAGAAATTTGCGCTAAGAAAACATTTTGATTCCAGAGTTTCTATTTGACTTCAAACTCATTAACGTATTTTAATAAATCCGAGTCCATCGTATACATTTTCTTAATAATTATAGCAAACAATTTATTGTAATAGAGAAAGTTTTTCGGAATATGACAAAGTTGTTGTAAAGAATAGAATACTTCAACTTTATTCGAACATGTATATACGTTATAAAGCAGAAAAAGAAAAGAATTTCTTCTATATATCAATAGGAATAATGTATCATTTATAATAACTTTGTCAAATAGAGAAAAAGATCTACAATTGCATCGCAATTGTAGAAGAAAGAGAATCACAAATTATAGTACCTCAAAGCATCTTTCCTACGTATGCCTTGCTGATATTAATTTGCTCCGGATTTACAATAAGTCTTTCTTCATTATATCATCCTCTTATTGCTCAGCAATCTCATTATATAATTTTTTCGCTTGAATCACATATATGCGATCCACACATAAACGATATTAATAATTACATTCTTATAAAACGTACTTTACAATAAATCCTGTCATGTACACATATATATACACTTTCCTCGATATAATACAACTGTTAGTAAGACCTCGCGATTTTAATTCGATCTTATATGTATCATTTACATTGTTTAGTTTGGCAAGTATTCGCTAAATAGAAAATCAAGTGATCATTAGTAATTAATCAAATTTACACTGGAAAACTCTAGGCACTATAAAATTGGGTATATTTACAGTTATATCTCAAAGGGTCCGAGGATCCAACAAAATTTCAAGTCATTTATGATGACATCACATATGTTTCAAGCTCAAGGTACAATCGAGAATATATTGCTAAGAATATATTATCCCGTAGAAAAATATCGATCGAAAAATATATCGTTGTGCATGGCAGGTTTGACTACGTACCTGCGTGGAAGAATCAGTGATAGCGCCAAAAATAACCGCAATCACGCTATTTGTCTTTACTTCAGGTGCCTAATTGTATAGTATATACACACAATACATCCTGTACAATACATATACATTCTGTGTGTAAGGCATCCTGTGAATTATGTATATTTAATACTCAACAACAACGGTCTTTGTCGTGATAATTTTGCACTTTACCTATTATTAAAACTACTGAATAATAGTTGAAATTTCGTCTATCAAAAATCGCGCCCTAATTGTTTAATAAAACAAAAAAAGAGCTGAATTAGGCTAAATTAGATGCCCCTCGCACGCAGGCGCGTTTCCGCGTATACAAGGGACACACGAATTCACGATCCGAATTCTATCGTGTCTTGTTCGATCGGCTTGAACTCGTAGCTTCCTCGGCCATCCATATGTAAGTAGTACTAGAAACAGTAAATAGAAAGTTAAGCAATGATAAAATAACATAAAACACATGATAAACGTAAATACATTTGTGGCAAAAAGTTAATCAATGGAAAAGAAACAGATTGATGGCGATACCTCGTGATGCTTCCAAAGAGAGCGACGATGCGAGACCGTGAACAGCGTAATGTTCTCTTGTTTGCAATATCTATACATGGAATCCTCGACGTCGACGCTGACGGCACTCGTGCACTCGTCCAAGATCGCAAATTGCGGTTTATGATAAAACAGCCGAGCCATCTTAAATAATAAAAACGATTGAGAAATACTTCACTAGCGTCATGATACAATATTGATATAAGATCTGTTCTTTTTTAGCTAATTCTTCCTGCACCGTTCATCTTTTCTCTTTTTTCTCCACGTTGGAAAGAAGCTAAAAAGAACAGATCTACAGGAAAAAATTGTAATGATAGCAAATAATGTGGCTGCGTTGGTTGCGTTTTGCTGAATCTCTGCTTAGCTAAGCGCAAAGTAGCAATTAACTGTGATTGGTTGGATCCAAAGATAAGAACCAATTACATTTGCTATTTTGCGCTTAGCTAAGCAGAAGTTTGGAAAAACGCAGCCTGTTTAAAGACTTTAAAGTACTTCAAAATTATTTAATCATTAAGTTATTTTACATCATGTAATATAAAATGTAATATAAAATAGGGTGTGTAACACGTGTGTTAAGTTGAAAATTGGACGTGCGGGTGATCGCACTTGTTACACAAATAACTATTACATGATAAAGGTTAGTCTTGAAAGACGTAAGAAAAAAATTAAAAAAAGTGACTCACTGCTATACGTTGTTTCTCGCCACCTGATAAGACGTCCATCCAGTCAGCTACCGCGTCCCAACCGTGTTTTTCACTGTTCAGACCTTCCCTTTCCAACAAATGGGTCAATTGCACCAGCTCCAGGAACTTTTTCAGATCGTCGTCTTGGGTTTACCGCGTCTCTTCATCTCTTCCTTCGTGTGGGGATATATTATCTGATCCCTCAATGTGCCCAGCGTCATGTAAGGACGTTGCGGAATGTAGAAGAGCTTACCGCGTGGTGGTTTCGTAATAGTGCCGGACCAAGTCGGCCACAACTAAACATTACAATTCGTAGAATCAACATATATAGACCTGTCAAGATCACTGACGCACTATTCGCACTATTCGCGTAGATAACAGAACTTTCAACTTATCATTCTCTATATCAGAAATAACTTAATATCTAGATAAGATATTAAGAAGAAACTCGGGCAGATTACGATACGATTCAATCGACATTGACAAAATCGATTCACAAAGACATTGTGAGACGAGCGATAAGTGAGAACGGTATAAATAAGAGCACACGTACTTCGCCAAGGATCCTAAACATGGAGCTCTTGCCGCAACCGTTCGGACCACAAACCAGCACATTCATCCCCGATTTCACTTCGAAGGACAGCGCCTTGATGAGCATGTCTCCGTTCGGCGTCACCAGGGGAACGTTGTCGAAATGTATGATGTTGTCGCGCGGCACGATTTTGCCGTTACCAGGATAACCGATCGTGTTTTCCTTGTAATCCGAGACCATCGTTCTCTCGTATTTTCCGGCGTTCAGGTCGTCGAGGACCGTCTTGATCTCGGTGACCCGAGCCGTGAATCCCGCCAGACGCGTCAATTCCCTGCCGGCTAGCACCAATCGGCCGATCGCCTCGGCCAGCTTCACCATCATCCGGCCGTACGTGTAATACGATTTGAACCTGTGATCGGGCGTGCCGGAGAGCACGGGGTGGTTCTTTTGGAAGAAGGGTATGCTCACCGCGTAGAAGCCGACCACGGTCGCGAAATCTAACAGGAAATAGCGATTAGCATTAACAATAGCGTTAGATTAGCATTAGAAAGCATAAGCTGGTATGGATAAAGCGCAATATCAGTTAACACGACAGTTATCGTCTTACATTTTCCAACGAAATTATCAATAACGCCCATCAAGACTTTAAATTCTAAGCATTGACGGAGATGAGTCACCTATAATTAAAGAAAAACACAATACAAATATAAATAATATTATAGAGCGTGAATAACACGCGTGAATAACAAACATTTGGAAACACTCACGAGTTTGTAGAAGCTAGCTAACACCGTCAGTTTCTCCCTGTTGTTTCCTCCGTAAAAGGCTATCTCTTCCGAGTTGACAATCATTCTTGAATTGATATGACGATACTCTCCTTCCAGTCGTTGCTCTTTGACTGTCATTGCTCCGATCGGCTTGCGAAGATGAGTCAAAAAGGTACCAGCTACTACCAGATACGAGAGGATCAAGAGCGGCGTCTAGAAAAAGATAATATTTTCTATAGCAATAAAATGCTTATTCTGCAGTAATATCTTCTGTTTAATCATCATTAAATAAGGTAAACGTTTATGCACCTGTCCGCCAAGAGTAGTTGTCAATCTATGCACGTAAATACCGATGTCCAATAAAGGCTTCGCTATATTGCTATAAAGATCTGTACAGCTTTCGCAGAATTTATCGACGTCCGTAGTCAGTAGCTGATCCGGATTCGCAATTCGAGTATCCAGGTTACTCATTTTGTAGTAGGTAAAGCCTCTGCGAAAGAAAGAAATGCCTCTTTTGTTAAATATTCAAGGTTATTCCTCAACATTTCTTATCGCGTACCCTCCTTGAACAAACATCATTTCAATCCCTAATTTATTTTAGTCATACATTATTTAAACGGAAGTGCTGTCGATATCAGCGACAGACCAAATACCTTTTAAAGTTATGCAAATACAATAGAAATACGTACGCATCGATAATGATTCGTTAATTGCGAAATTACTGTTTCATATGATAAAGAACTACTTAGACTGACAAAAATAAAACGGAATAGAATCCAAGTTAACAAAGAAATATATATCAGTTACTTACTTAAGATAATGATCCAGCAAATAACGCGTGATATTTGTACGCAATCTCAACTTCATTTCGCCTATACCATACTTCAGTATGTTGTTTACGATCGCTATCTAAATAAATACAATCACACGAAACATTTAGCACATTATTAACCGTTTTTCAATGAAGCTGAGCTAAAATTGTGCTTAAGGAAAGAATTTCATTACCATAAGCAACCTTTAGTCGATAGAATACTCTGCTTACCATCGGCACTACGGCGAACAAATTCAGCAAATGCCGCTTGAACAATGGCCCATCCATATTGACAATCGACCTGGTTAGCATACAAGGTTTCGCGTCAGCAAGATAAAGCTTGTTTTTAACGTCACCGATCAGAAATGCTGCACATACGTTTCTATCACGGTGCCCTTCTTGATCAGCCACAAGTCACACAGGGTCCTGCCGACCAGGGCGGTCGCCACCAGGAGTACAAAGCCAAACTCCGGCGACAATACACCGGGGATACCGATCTTGAGCAGCTGACAGAGCCTGCGGAAGAAGACGGCGTTGACCTGCGCCTTAGGGGTTTTCGGTTTCTCCTGCAGACAAGTACACAGTCAATACAATCTCGGTCTATCTCCGCGTCAGGATGCTGTCCTACGCTCTTACCTCCTTGATGACATATTGAATATCGTTGCCGGTGGGCCACTGGTTCCTGAAAGCATGCCGTTGCTCAGAGACAAGTCGCGAAACGCCGATTGACGCGCAATATTTACCTGGTCCGCTGCGTCCGTCGCCTGCTGCGGTTCCTCAGGATCCAGATGAGCGTGCCGACCGCGGCGGCCGCGCCGGCCAGCGTGCGTCTGGTGGCGAATTTGCTGAGGGCCGGTGCCATCTCGGTGATGGTGTCGGGCTCGCGTGGTGCGGGCGTGCGTTACCGTCCTGGCGCGACGGCTGAACTATCGCGCGTGGCCTTTGGAGCATAGAGCCAGGGGACACGGACGGAGCGGATGATGAGTCGACCGTGTCGTGCCGAGGTGGTGGTGGACGACGACGCCGAGTGGGAGACGCGGCGGAGAGAAGGAGAAAGAGAGAGGCGAGAGAGCCCGAGTCCCCGCGCCGTGGCTCCGTTGACTCAACAACCAGCACGGGCATTCCGCGTGTACTTTCTGCGATCGCGTAATAGCGGAGTGTCGCATTGCACGTAACAGCGGGAATGAAATATATACACTCAAGTCTCTCCTCCTCTTCGCCGCTGCCGCTGCCGCTGCCGTAGATTCAAAGCCCGTCTCGCCGTTCTTTCTCCTTCTCCTTCTCCGTCCGCGCCGGCGGCGAGAGTGCAAAATACAAGTATATGCACTCGGAGAGACACTCGAGATTGCAACGTCCGATTGCCGCGATATGCATGCCCGAGCGATATGCATGCCGCTGAAAATGCTGCCGTTGCGCAGCGACGCGTCCGACTACTCCGACTACCTAACTACCTACTCGAATCCGAGGTTCTCGAAATGGAATTTTACGGACGACTCTCTGCGCCTCGCTCTGCGCCGCGGTTTCTCGTGTCTCGTCTTGGAAAATCGGTTGACTATACGATGTGGGAAAAATTGCTCCTCGCATGCGCTTCCTCCTGATATCGCGATGTTGCCACGCGTATATAGATTTTTTATCATTTTTTTATTCTGAGACTCAGATTGGCCATGGGATTGATTGCAACGATTAAAGGCTGAAATTATATAAATGCGATTTAGAGAAGTGAAAAAAAGACACAGAAAATAATTAAGCATGAATATTAAAATAGAATACCAAAATAGAAAAACATACATATATACGTGCAATATTACTTTTTTACTGATAATTTTTTTTATTACAAAAGCTATATCGTAGCAGCGATCTTATAGGATATTCTGAATATCAATCATTGTCGATCGCGAGCGCAAAATCGCTGTCATTATTGAAACCGTAGGAAACCAAATTGCGAAACACAGATTGACAAGATGAAGAAAACATATTTTATATGTAATTAAATTATATATAAATAGATTGTTGATTTTATTATCGAAAATTTCCCTCCAAATTAACTTTTTCTTTTTATTTGAATTATATATTATATATATACTCAGACAACACACTATAACTGCGTTCGGGGAGCGCGCTATTAGCACTATTGCATCATTCTGTCTTTATCACTCAGATGTAAAATAAGGATAGAATAAGCAAATAGCGCTAATAGCGCGCTCCCCGAATCCAGTCTATGTCCAAAATCGGGACATAAGATGTTTTAAAGATAACTTATAAAGCTGTTTTTAAGACGTCTTGTATCCCGATTTTGGACATGCGTGCTGTCTGGGTAATTACATATGGAAATTTCTAATTTTATAAAAACACGGGGACCGATTTCACATCTTATTGGTTCTCCTCTTCCGTTAAAATATTTTTGACATTTTACCAATTGGCGCCAAATGTGGTGGCGGGCGAAAGACTCAACAGTCTTTAATTATAATTCGTTAATCTTCGCCTCCCGGCTTTAAAAATTCGACGATGAACGCATGAGAAACAAATTGCGTTTCCGCAAAAAGTATAATATCGACGCGTCTCGTCCGCGATAGATAAGTATATCGATAACACATTCTCAGACGTAAAAGTCGTCCCCTCTAACGAGCGCGTCGACCTTGAAAGAAGTGTCTACATTTTCGTCGCGATTTCCTTACACCGTCGTGTAGAAATATTTTCCTCGGAGTTCCGCTGGTCTCTTATTAAGCCTGATCTACAATGTATTCTTTGCTTCCTGTTTTCTGCTCTTAATCTCTTTGCGACTATCTCGTATTTCGCAATTCCGTCGCGTAACGCGATATGTTAATTGACGAATTTCAGAAGAGACAATTAATTAAATTAAGAAACATCACGTTACGCAACGGAATTGCGAAATACGAGATATTGTATAGTCGCAAAGAGGTTAAGAGCAGAAAACAGGAAGCAAAGAACACATTGTAGATTTGGCTTTAAATCGGAAGGAAACGAAAAAACACCCGGCTTAGAACACTTGTCGCATTTTAAAAAACGGCTTGAAAAAGAATTGTAGAAACTTTTGTTCCTAATGACGAGGGTGCTATTAAATTTTTTTGTATCTCTTATTCTCATTTCTCTTCCTCTCCGCAGAGCAAAAAAAAATAAAAAGATAAAAAAGAGCACATGATTTTGCCGAAAGGCCCGAAAGTTACCCGCGGATGAAAAGAGGGATGAAAAGAGTGGCAAATCTGATTGGTGGCGCCATATTTTGTGCCGTTGTTTTCGAATGTCGCGTGATGCGCTTCGCCCAAATGCGCGTTTCGCGCGCGTCAGTGAGACAAGACGGCGTCCCTCGATGCACTTTCTCCCTCCCCTTCTGCTTTTACGTTCGTCAAGGTCGCTCTCCTTGCATTTCTTATCTTCATAATGAATTACGCTAAATTCAGGTGGAATTTCAAATTGCAACATACGTAAAAGCGGCGCATCTAAATACATGTAAATGAGAAAAACCGTTATTTTTCGCTTTTAACAACTCAATGTGACACGCACGCAGAGACTCAGGGCGCGTTATCAAAAGAGGGGCACGAGGGGGGACAGCGGGAAGGCGCGAAAGTGCGAGTAGAAAGACAACGGAAATTCCCTCTTTTTCATCTTCCGCGCTTCTTACCGTTTGCCTATTATTTTTCGCTTTCCTTTTTCCCTGTCTGAATACTTCGCCATTTCGATCTGAATGTAGAACGTTAATAAAGTCGTACATGTATTTGTGTGTATAGTTACGAATATATTAAATTATCATAGGTATATATAGATGCAGTCTGTGTATCTGCAAAACTAGTTTTTCTTCTATTTTTCTGCAAATTAAATGCAAATATACATGAGATTTGTATTTTGTCACCGCGCTTTAATATATTTAAGTTTTTAAATATTATATATATAGGTATTATTATAATATTTAATATCTTGAATATGTAAATTAGTTTCGAATATATTATGTATATTATAATATATTTAATATTTTGAATATGTAAATTAGTTTCGAATATGTTTGAAAGAAGACAAGGAAGGATAGTTCAATTGAAAAAAAAAAAAAAAAAAATAAAAAAAACTTGGTAGACGTTTCCTGGAGAACCGACGCGAAGTATAAAACGCGGAAGATGACACTGCAAAAAAACGTGTATTTACGGTATAAATGATCGTAGATTAAATCACACCAGCAATGAGTCAATGTTTTTTACGGTATATTACATAAGAGGGAGAAGAACGTCATCGAAGAACGGGTTCAGAACAAAAACAAAATATCCCGAGAAAGACACGCGATTGACGCTAGAATGAACAGCAATGATGACTTCGGCGAAAGTCCAATTAACTCAATCGGCGATTAACTCACTCAATACCTGTACTATTTCGCTAACGTAATCGTAGAATTAATTTTTTGTTATTCAACATATGGAAGAAAGAGATTAAGAACAACGAACTGTAGAATTAGAAACTTTTGCTTCGAGCAATTCTGCTGCTTGAATTGATCGTCGATTGAGGATTAACTTATCAAATGATACTATATATTGCGAACCATTTAACTAGACGTCGTTCTTAATTTTTTGTCATTTAATATATGAAAAAAGACTAGATTAGAGACAACGAACTATATAATTGGAAATTTTGCTTAAACAATTTCTGTCGATTGAACTGATCGCCAATTGAAGATTAGCTTCCCGAATAATACTATATTGAGGCTCAATTATTTGACTAGACGTCGTTCTTAATTTTTTGTTGTTTAATATATGAAAAAAGATTAGATTAAAAACAACGAACTATATATAATTAGAAACTTTGCTTCAAGCAATTCTGTTGCTTGAATTGATCGTCGATTGAGGAATAATTTATCAAATAATGCTATATTGAGATACTAAATTTGAATACTAAATTTATCAAATAATGTCTATAGCATTTAACTAGGTATCATTCTTAATTTTTTGTTATTCAATATATGAGAAGAAAAGTTAGGGACAACAAACTGTATAATTGGAAATTAAATTCTGTCGCTTCTCAATTCATTGCGGATTAAAAACTAACATATTAAATAATATTATATTGAGGTTTAATTTATCAAATGATAACTATGCTATTTAACTAGACATCATTCTTAATTTTTTGTTTAACATATAAAAAAAAAAAAGATTAAATGAATGACAACAAATTACGCAATTCGAAATCTTCCTCCAACTTGACTTCGCCGATTGAAATAATTAGCGATTAACCGGATTTCATTCGAAAACACAAAAAAAAAAAGATATCATTGACGATTATGGTGAACAGTTATTGGTAAGCGACACGTAATATCGTAATACCGTGTTATGTAAACGATGCGACCGCAATCCGGTGATAATGAATGACAATCATATTGGCGATATCACGCATTTGTAATTCCTGACGCGCGGCGCGTTGTGTCAGAGATAACGCTTCGTTAACTCGCCGATCGTTTTTATAACTATCGACAAAAACGAGAGTGCTCTTCATGAGACTGGCAGAAATACATAAATATGTAACGTTTCGTTATGAACGTGATTGAGATTTTTCTACGCGTGCTACGTGATAAGATAATTCGGCGCTCCTCTTTTTTTCCCCCGAATGTATGAAATTTCGCCGAACAGAAAGAATCGAAAGTTTAGAGTGCGGCGATATAGAATACGAAACGTACGAAGGGAACAAACAAATTAAATAATAAAGTACCGTATATTATGTAAATTATAACGACAAATACGACAGCAAATCCCAGACAGCACCATGTCCAAAATCAGGAGAAAGACGTCTTTTAAGAATTACATCATAATTGACATTTGACATGTATGCGTGCTGGGATCGAATGGCGCAATATAATAACGCAAGACTCGCGCCAATCAAGTTATACGAAATTTCGCAGTTTGGGGACATACGAGGTTCGAGATCGTGCGATTACAAGTTTTAAACATAGATTTATTAATCATTTCTCGTGATCCGCACATTCACACAGACTCTCGAAGATTCTTGCGTCTCGATTTACACCCTAAGTTCGCTGTTGTCTCTCCCCTTTCTCTCTCTCTTTTTTTTTTGAGCGGCATTCAGTAAAAATAATCTTATTCAAGCGGTAACGAATGACACTTGATTTGTGCAAATCTGGAGGTATCAAAATATCTTCTATACGTCACAAGGAAAAATGTGTAGCAATTTTTTTTCTCTCTCTCTCTTTCTCCTTCTCAAACCTACCCCTAAATCCTACTCCACTTATCCCATTCCCTCCTCCTATTTTTCCTTCTCCGTCGTACAGTCTGAAATATATTTAAGGCCGTGTGTTTACTTATCTCGCAACATAGGAAACCACGATGTATGTTTGATCTTGCGTACAGTACAGTTACTATCGGACTACCGTTCACTCCCCTCCCCTCGTCTATCGCGGCGAGACTACAAAACTTACGATTAGAGCGATCTCCTTAAACATAGAAGCGGGCGCGACGCGGCGACTGCTGAAAGACGCGCCTCGTCTTAGAGGAAGCGATTCTCTCCTCTGGAAGGGCAGGACCCTTTTCCTTCCGTTCTTTCCCTCGCAGCGGCCGGGTCGCCCCCGCACTCGGACCTTTCCTTCGTTGACGGCGGGAGAAATCGCCGCGAATCGCCCCCGTAAAACAGTATTCCTTACATCCTAGGTACACATAGGTATCGACGATAAGTTTCATTCTCTATATCTTTACACGTATAAGCTCATTACAGTTACGGAAACGTCCTAGATCCTGCTCGATGTACTGCGCGATGTGCTCTCACCTTTTCTCTCTCACTCTCACTCACTCACGTTCCCATCACGTCTCTCATCACTTAGACATACTACCAAGTTTTTCTCTGACTAGCACGCGATAATCCTATGCAATAAATTATAAACGCACGTATTCTATGTATTTTTATCGACGCTTACTCCGCGATTTGCGTCGCGAACAATGAAATCAGTTTCTCGTTTCTTTTCTTCTTTTAGTACCCTTTGTTGTCATATCGTTACGTAGCTTGGAAGAGGAAACGCTCGCGGGACGTGGACGCAAAGTTTCAGTCAAGGATGCGACGAAAAAGCGGAAATGATATGCTTCCTACGCTCGTGCCCTCGCACGCAAATGAGAAACGAAATGCAAAGAAGATTAAATTATTCGGACGCCGAAGAGAATGTCAAGGAACGGGCGTGAGTGGCGAAGATCACGCGCGTTCCTGTTGAAAGAGATATCAATCTCTCTCAACAGCCGAGTGGTTTGTAACGCAAATGACACGTGGCGCATTTTTGAACCGTACCCGGCGTAGACATTTCTCTAATAAATAGCCGGTAAACAACCGGTTCCGAAGGGAGAGGTACCGATCATAAAGCACGCCTTCTTTACAAACGTAGAAGGCGGTTGCGATTAATTAACAGGCATTTTCTTTATATTGCTACTGGTAAAGTTTCTACGCTCGTCGTTCGCTATTAGAATGCGGTGTGAAAAGATGCTTATGTCCCTTCGTCTTTATAAAATAAAAGGCACCGAGTTCCCTTTTCTTCTTTCTTTTTTCTCCTCACAATATTGTTTCTTAGATATCGTGCGACCTCGTTGAGAATTCAATAAAACCCGATTTAATTAACGACGCGAATTAATAGCTTGGCCATACAATGATACTCATGCTAAATTAACAATTCTGCCAAGTCATTCTCGAGGGTTATCATTTGTGCTGCTTCATCAAACTGTAATTCTCACTCGAGTGGAAAAATGATGTCGCGAGAGATTTGTATAAATTTCATATTTTACAGTGGAAAGTGTGATGCTAATTAAAAGAGCATTGATCTCACGTTCGAAAGAATCTGAGCGCAGTACCTCATAAAATGATTGCATCATTATTACAAGGTTAATTACCAAGGATATAAAAATCTCAATTTGCTTAAGCGGCCTCGTTGCTCTCCTACACGGTTTTTTTTTTTGCATTTTGTATGTTTCTTGGCAAATTTGGAAAGTAATATGCGAAAATATAGGATTCGCCGAAGCGTTTTACCATGCAAAAGTTACAGAAACGAGTTAAGCTATGCAATGGTGCACTTTGGTTTCGTTGAAACTGCGCGTTTTACACGCATCTATATATACATATGTATTACATATATGTTGTATATATATATGCGTTGAGAAATATTTAAAAATACATTTCCGACATACATAAACAGATACATCAAACAGATTTCTTGCCTATAGGCTTCTCGCAAAATGTATAATTCACTTAAAATGTACAATAAATCAACAGCTATACTTAAAATAAAAAAATCATTGTGAAAAAGAACGGACGTGTCGAATTACCACTGTCCAGTGCTACAATGTAATTAATTAATATTTATAAATTCCTTTTTTTTTTATTTTGATTTACAACGTCTTCGATGTTTAAGAAGCAACTTATCCACGGATATATGTAGAACAATTCATTATAAATACTTGTCGCTTGAAACGTAAGACCGATTCAACTTCGTCTTGAAATAAATAGAAATTCGTGTAACGCGGCTGTGTAACATGCGCAACCGCGTGAATAAATATTAAATCGCCTTAAATAATATACATAAACAAACGAAACTCAACGTACGAAATTCTAGCGATATTGGAGACTCTTACATCCTATAATATTTTTTTACAATACAAAAGACGCTATTGGAGTGCCTATGAATACAAAACATATACCGACACATATTTTTACCGTAGGCATCCCCAACCGACTTTTGAAATGGTTGAAGATGCTCGTATCGCGCTTATCATATATTTTGCAGTTTCCTCTTTTAACTTCAACAATCGTACGTATTTTCATCCGCTACATTTTATATATGTATATACATCCAACGTATAAGACGCACACTGTATATTCTATCAGTAAATTAAAACAATCTCGGATACTCGCGTCTCCCTCTCTACCTTTCTCTCTTTTCAATAAAATTTTGTACTATTCGTTTAATTATACTGAGAGAATAGCAACCGGCTGCAATAGACTGCTCTCAAACGAAATCTTCCCACAGAGCTCGATGTGTTCAATCAATAAATTACGTTAAAAAATATGAATGTCGGATATATGTATGTGTGTAAACTTTAAAAGTTTATGTACCGTTACAGCAATCTAATATTCCGATAGGAATACTTGTGACATATTACCGTCGGTAGGGCGGATTTTTGTAATTGGTTTGCGTGTAATTTGCGCAAACTAGAATTCGCGAGCAAAACGTAGGTGAAATCCATCTTGTCGAAGATAAAATTATATTCTCTCGCGTTTTCCTTTGCGCAAACTGATGATTATTTCAAGCCCACTCGATATAGTTTCCTTCAAATAATGGTATTAAATAATTTGAATATCTTTATTCACAATAAAATATACAAACGAATATGTATGCCTTAGCGCACTTTTGCCATTGTTATGTTTTATACCTTGTGTTTTAAACGTATAAATAAATAAAATCTAAAATTTATAAGTTAACTATAAATTTATCTTAACAGGTATTAACAACATGTAACTAATAATGTAATATATACAGGGTGTCGCACTCTGTATATTATTCTTATCTATAACTACAAAAAATTCTTTTTCCAATAAATGCAGAAAACACAATCGAGTGGACTTTTCATACATGTTCTAGTGAGGGCATGATAAGTTCATGGTCCCGTATACTCTTATTTTCTTCCAAAAGATGTTTCGACTAGATTCGATATATACTAACGTACTAAAATCGTGCCAGCGATACTTTAAACCTGCGCCATACCTGTGTATGAGACAAGGCTTCGCGTAGTACAATACAATACCTCTCTATATCTTATATCACACAGACTTACTTGAATTGTATACATCGTAGGCGTTATGCAAAAATCCTCTTCTTATATGTCGTAATTGTAATTTGACGTTATATAAAATAATAATTTATGAGACTAGTGTTTTTTTTTCTCTTGTAGTAGGCCTGCATGTTTTCGTGCTAGTATCCTTACATTTTCGTGTGTTACCGGTTTACTCATAAACTAAAGGGCGTAGGCACACAGTTAGCTTAGCTTCATACGTTTTGGTTGGCTCGCATTAGACGCATCTGAAATTCAATTTGCGTAACTTGTACCGAATAAATTTTTACACAATAGTAAAAAGATAAGATTCTGATAAGGACAAGTATTATGCCTCACCTCCATTGGACGTTGCCCCGAAGCCACTAATTAAAGAGCAATTTTGACTTTTCTGAAATAGACACAAAATTATTTTTATTTATTTTATATTTATAATTATATTTATTTAATATCTCTTGGTACAGTATGAATAAAATTGATTTGTGAAATTATGGATGACCTTTTAAGAAATATGTTGTAGACAGGTTTTTCTCTAAGAATTTAAATTAGGATAAGCCAAAGATCAGAAAAACAAAGAATGTTTAAATGACGTGAATAATGTAACAGTCGATATATGCGTTGAGGTATACTCACGTCTCCCATTACAGCTATTGGCGTAGTTCCAGTTGCGATAGCGACTTGATGCTCTATTAAATAAAACATGTACTCGTCATAAAGTAATCTGATAAGATGAAAAGATCCGAAACTCGCAGCACTTCTCAAAGTGAGATCCCGGATAACCATCGAGCTATGGAAGACATAATATTATAAGTTTAATTGAAAAGATGTTTATGTAACATGGCAGAGAACAGAATGTACCTATAAAACGACCACTTAAGCAGGAATTGACGTGCAGCTTTAGCAAATGTTGGCTTCTCTTCATGTGGCTTGAGCGCTTGAGTCACAACTCCTTTCAACCAAATCGCCCAATCCTCCAGTGAATTTTGTTGCTGCAACGTTACCTTAAAATCCGCCTCGAGACGTTGTACCATCCCGTAATCACATTGGCATACCCAGGATGCCTGAAAAGGCAATCGCTTATGTATGCTGTATCTTTGTAAATATATTGCGTGTATATATGTATATTAATATTAAATAGTAGAATTCTCTAGAAATATTTCAGAGAAAGATGTCAACTTACTTGTTCTTGCACGTTGTGAAAGTCAACGCGATTCAAGTCAGCTAACATTTGATTAATTTGACTAGAATTCTGAAGCACGGCTCGCGCGGCTTGTGCAAGATGATTTAACGATGTATAGCGCCTTAAAGTTTGAGCAAAAGCTGACACTGCAGTTAACTGTAACCAACAATAATTATACTGCACGACTCGCATATAATTTTTTAGAAATATATATATTTTTTATATCTGTGATTCTTGTTCTAATTGATATCATTATACAATAAATTTAAATAAGAGCTACCTTAATTTGCGTCATTTCTTCAGGACAATCGGCCATTGCTGACTGCAACCAAGATTCTAATCCTTTTGCAAAGTTTCGGATAGACTGTGTCAACGAACCTTGCCGGGACAAAAAGAAGCATTTAATACGTAAATCTAGACAGAATAACAACAACGAATCTTATAATAATAACGTACTTGGTATCGGTCGCAATACATTAGGCATTAAAACATCGACTAGATTCTGATAGAATGTATAGTCCACCTTTTTGATAAAGTCTTGTACTCCCGCACACTGACACATCTGATATAGTTTGGTTCTGAAAAGTAGAGGTTAAAAAATATTCATCGCGCACATCAAGAGCTCTAAATATAAAATATAAATGACTTATTGTATAAGTCAGATGCATTTAAGAAATAATTTAGAAATAAAATATTAGAAAAATAATTACGCAGTTGATTTTTAATGGAAAAAAAAAAAAAAAAAAAAAAAATAGATACAATGTAATAGATTGTCAATGTAATTCTCCTATTTGATATGAATTTTTCTAATAAATAATATATATCATACTTTGACAAATATTTCTCCTCTTCGCATTCATCACCGTTATTATTGTCCTGGCTGCGCCAGAATTCTCTCCAGAGGCTCTCCACCGTGGCGAACTCGAAATTCAGCACCGCGTCCAAGAACGCTTCGCAATGTTCTCTGTATATGCTGCGGAACGTATCGATATCTTCGAGAGTGCAATCCTCGGGCAGAGCCGAATCGTGACTGATGAAGATCTCCGGGAAATCGGGAATGGCGCCGCTCGCCTCACCGAGGTACTGATGATACTGTGGCGGTGAAGAATTGGTGGAGATATTTGTGTTCGCGTGTGCGTTATTCTCATAAGACGACTCCTGCTTTTGATTGACAAATTTGAATCGTTTAGTCTGAGAGTTCGCACTCTGCTGTTGTCTCGATGTGCCATCCTCGTTCAATATAGACAGAGATGAACTTGGCTTCACACGAATTCCATAATAATGATATTTCGAGTTTCCCCTATTATAAAAAAAAAAAAAAACAATGAAAGAGATATTAATCTGATAAACACTAAGGTTTCGCTAATTATTATGAAGCCTTTTACCTAGTCCCTAAACGCCTAGTTCTCAATCCCAAGAATACAGAGCGTATTAATTTCCCGAAACTGGCTGCGTTCACAGGATCCAATTTGTTTTCGGAGCAATGGCGTAGGTAATGATTGTAGAGAGTTGATCTTGGAAGGGACACGCCGTCAGCGGTTTCGTAATTCTCCAACAACCAGTGTACCTATTCAAATTAATGCATCAGAAATTAGTATTCATGTTCTTCATAAATACAAATTTTTATTAAAAAATATAAATATATAAATCAACAAAATAAATTCACTAAAGGTAGAAAAAAAATAACTATACAGTTCTACGGAAAAAGATATCTCATTAAAATTAAAATTGCTTCTAAAATAATTTTTTACTAGCAGCAAATAAAAATAAATTAGCTGTAATTTTTTTGAAGATCTATCAATCACATAACCATTTGACTTTTTGTCTCGCTAGAGATTCCACAAAAGAAAACCTTTAGAAATTAGACTATACATAACATTAAGCAGTACAAAGCAATTTAATTAATAACAGACATGCCGAAAAAAATTAAAAAAATAAGATACTGATTAGTATGCCAGACAAGCTACGAAAAATGGGGAATCAGTTTCGTTTTTTGGCTTACGGTGGCCTGGGAGACTCTAGTGGCATGCGTCACGTTTGCCGCTGTCTCTTCCACGGTGACAGTGGTACCTCCAGAATTACCGCTGATCAAGTACGCCCCGCCACCACCGCTAACCACAGCCTCCTATCAAACAACCCAACATACCGATGCCTCGTTAACCCCCCGAATTAAGATACGGACAAGGATACTTCTCCTTGAACACTAATATCCGCAATTCTGTTTGTAAACTTTATAGTGGAATACGTAATATAAGTTATTTCAAAAACTACAATATTAGAGCATTCATTTATATATAAAGTGTCGAGAAAACTACGCAATGAATATAAATTCTTTTTTTGCTCTTCGAGAAAGAGTATCTTCGCACTGGTTGCACTACAATTTACTGAACACCCTGTTTATAGCATACATTCTTGCAAACTTTTGATGCTATAAATGATTATGTAATTACAACTGTAATAAGATCTTATAAGAACAATTTTTTATGGCCCATATAATCATGCAGAGCACAGATCCCCATGCCTGCAGCGATAAGGCATAAATATATACGTTGTATTGTCACAAATGAGTACGTTAATCATTCAATGTGATCGAGAGCTAATTTATCCAACGTCTAAAAGGTTAAAGAGCAACCTAAGAAAATCATAGGACATGCAATTTACCGCAGTTTCCGTTTGCGGACTGGCGCGCGCGGCAGCCGCGGATATGAGCGCATGAGTCGGGTCTCCGTCCACTACGCTCTGTTGAATCAAGTACGTGCCGTTGCCTTGTGATAACAGTTGCCCGGTCGAATTCGTGCCTTGTCCCGTGACCTGACGCAATACAAATAATGTATCGTTAATATCGTCATAATTTTATCACGATAATTATCGCACATCAAGTATTTGGGCGTGCAATTACCTGTGCATACGTTACTGGCGTTGTCGCTGGAGTATAGTACTGACCCGAAGCCGGAGTGTACATCGCTCCCGTCTCGCCGACAGCATAAACGGGATATGTCCTGTGCAGAACATTACGTGATTGTTATAGAACGTTCCGTAAGTTATGAATAACTGACAAGTGCGAGATTGCGGTACTTACATCTGGCCATTCGCCGGTATATACGTGGAACCATCCCCCTCGACATATTGAACGTAAGTTGGATGAGAGACCGACTCGGACCCCACCGCCTCTGCGTCACCAGACACTGAAACAAAAAAGAAACGTGGCTGTATTTGAATAGATCACTTGTACTGACACACAAAGTTTGCATAAGCGCAACAAGTTTTATTAACATACTGTCATAAACATCATCTTAGAAATCGTTTCAATAACCGAAAGCCATATTTGGCACTGCAATTTGGATAGAAGGTAGTTTTGTAAATGACTAAAAACTCTAAATTGTAGTCGTATTCACGCTTATCGATAATAATGTAGAGTGGCGATAGATAAAGATGAAATAAACCGAAATAATATTAAAAACCGGTGTATAAGAACCCATTCATTGATCTTGTAATGTCTACGAAATTAAAATGTATAAACAGAACATATAAGGCATGCTGTTTATTTTCTGCCCTCACCTACAGCCGTTGTGAGGGACGCGTAGGACGATGAATCACCGGTGCCTAGTGTGGTCAGAGTAGAAGTACAGAGGTGCATGTTTTTCAGCAGCATGGAAAGGGTCAAATCTCTACTCAAATACTATAATCTTTCAAACTGATCCTCATATACTCACCACAAATAGTAAACTTATTTGCAATTAAGTTTCGTATTCGATACTAATTTCTATCTGTATGCTCGCGTACAATCGGATGTCTATATACAGTTTAGCGTGTAATCGCTCGCAATTTGATTTGTATGCATTGCAGTAAGGTCGAATAAGGATCAATTCACACCGCTTCAATATCAGACAAGAAATTTATATTTGTCTATTACCTGTGACTGTTATGTAATGCGGGGAACCACTGACGATGGTGCCGGCTGACGTAGAAGCAGCGTCGGAGTCCACTAGCGCGTGCTGGCCCGAGTGAGTAGTATTGACCACTACCTGTGCTGTAACATGCGCTGGCGTACCTGTTGAGCCGTTGGACGAATCTGCAGCTGTTTCAAGCGTATCCTGAACCAATAACTAAATTATTATTTATAGTATGCGTGTCCTCATGGCCCACGACTCGTTTTCATAATAGAAATTTAAAAAGAAAAATTATATATGCCTTTTGTACGTATGTGAATATTTATATATTCAGGCGCAAGGTAGAATTGACTTGGATTTTATTTCAACATTTGTGTGTATCGCTCTTATCAGTCGCTAGGAGCAGATGGCTGAAATATATTATCAGATATAAAAATGAGCTGCAAACAGATGCTATAATATCTACAGAGATCACATGTATATTGAATAATTTTATATATATCCTTTACACGTTATATTCTTATCCATTTTACAACAGCAGTAATACAGAGAAAGTAACAGAAAAAAGGAGAAGTAATCTGACATACAGATTATATCTTTGAGATTTGTAACTCTTGAGAAGAATAAAAATAATTATCTTCATAAATCACACTGACAAAAGGCATAACACAGAGATATAAATGTAGGACAAATATTACCAACCTGAATAGGCTGCAGATTATTTGGACTGGAAGGATCGGGGCTCGTCACGACAGTGATAAGTTGCTGGCCTCTGGCAGACTGAGTCTGTGCTCCGCTAGCACCGCCACTGGAACTGGAAGTAGTAGTCACGACAACCACATTTTGCTTAGAATCCACCCCTACCGCCGTGGAGCTACCCCCACTGTTATTAGCCCCGGTGGATGCTGCTGCGAGGGCATACTGGGCTCCTGTCGTAGTCATGGCAATCACTCCTTCGCCTCTCTCTGCACCCACTGAGTCGTCGCCACCACCGCTACTACCTCTCCGATGCTGGAGAGAGGAATCTATAACAGAGATACGCACATACACCGTCTCACTAAATATCAATAACATCTTCCACCAGACCCAGCGGAGAGATCTTTAAGAACAGCGTGCCTCCGCAACCCCCAATATCAATATCGACTCACCGAAACAGGAATATTACTTGGTAATTATGAAACAAGATACGTATTTGATGAACAAGGTTCATCAAATGTAATATCATAAATATTTTCAAATAAAGTATCACTTCTAGTATTCACTTTTGACATAAATTATATATGTATATAGGATATATACTATATCCTACAAAGTTTACACTCTCATATTACATAAAATCTATTGCATAGAGAATATAGATGCTTGATTTTGATCTCAAAATTGTATCTGTAAATCAAAAAAGAAAACTTTCACATATCAATTATAATATTAAATACAACATTAAACTCGTTATTTAAAAATATTGCCTTAAAAACTTAAATACAACTCGAAACTATTTTCTGTACAACAGTTACAAAATTGCTAACAAATCTTCATATGGAAGCGCTAGTACGATCGCGTAAACCTGTCGATAAGCCAAACCGTCGCTAAGGAGCGAAAAGGAAGCGAGAGAGAACGGCCCTATCGCGTTACAATTCTGTAAAATAAGGTTTCCCCTTGGGGATGAGAAACATCTCGCCTTTGGATCGACGAAATCGCTTTCGGGGGAGCGAGCCGACGACGATAAGCGTGGCCCGCGCATCGCCGGAGGAACGTAACAAACAAGGACAAAGTTCCCACCCGCGTTCCGGCCGCCGTTCCTAACCTATATCGCAGTACAGAGAGATGGCAATAAACGTACTTTCCTCGCAGGTGTGGCGCATTCAATAATCCGCAGATCAAAGGGAAGCCCCGGCGGGCTCGCGATACGAACGGTACACGTCACTGCCATTATTACGCGCGTGTATCATGGTGTATCGGGCGCCGTGTACCTGTTGGGGCGGCAGGTACCAAACACAATGTATCAAGGGGGAAGAAATCGGCCCGCGGGGAGGGAAAAAAGAGAGGGGTGGCGCGCGCGCGCGAGGGGTGTCCTAGAGCGACGATTGCCGCTACCCACGCGTGACTGGACACACGGCTCGCTTTAAGAGGGTTGAAAACGTATCAATGAAGGCGGCCGGGATCACGAAAGCAATTAGAGAGCATTATCCTGAGTCCAGCGTTGCAACCCTCGCTTTTTCCGCCAAGGATGGACCAGGGGGGCGGGCTAATAAGCGACGCACAGTACCGCGTTGATACGCGAGGGAAAGGTGGCCATGCTTCCTCTTCTCCCGTCTCTCTCTCTTCTACTCGCGCGCTTCGTTTCTCTCTGCAAGCTATATAATAAAATACATGAGATGAACAATTACTTTATCGTTTTCTAATAATATAATGTGTCGTGAGAGACTGTAAGAGCTATACGCTTTAATAAGAAAATCGTAACGTTTCTCGGTAGTATCGATCAGGAGAAAATTTTGTAATAGGATCTGATGTTTCTCTTGTTTTGATGTATACATACCAGCTAATTAATATAGGACTCGGTAGACTCATTAGTACGTTTCTCTAGATAGGTAGAGAGACGTACTAATGTTACATCAACATGGTTCTTACCCTAACAATGCAATCAAAAACCAAACTGTTATACGTATGCGAATAACAGTGTTGAAATAAAGAAAAATATTCCTTGTTTGAAAATAACTTTTGTATCATTTAAATTGTATACTTTCTCTACAGATTTTGAGAACATTCATTAAATATAACTAAGTTTTCTTTTGGCATGTTTCTTTCAAGAGAAGCTCTGAGGCATCTATTATATTACTTTTTTTTTTCTAAATATATCTAGCGTTACATTTAGAAAGATACCTTATATAGCATTTGCTGCAAATGTTACTGGTAGTAGGCTGATACGATGTGGGCCTGTGTCTGTTACCTATACACACGTAATGTCACAAGTGCACCTGGCGTCTGTTATGCATGACTGATGGGGAGAGACTCCTGTGTTCTTTCTAAGTCCTTCCTATCCATACGACGTATATCTACGTGTCTCACGTGTATATTTCAACCTCCCCTGTGTAATTTGTACACGAGAAACCATTACTTAGGCTCGTTACGTAGAAGCTACAACACACTTCGGCTTTTCATAGTAATATATATCCATTCGGTCCCAATGTCCTGTGAAAACGGTATGCACCTGGAGTCAGATAAACCCGCGGGCTGAGAACTTATGCAGATGGTGAAAAGTAAAACGGCAGAGATAAGGGATAGATAGCGTGGAAATATCAAACAACAAACGGTTGGCGGAGAGAAACATTGTGTCGAGATGTAAATCACCAATAAAGGTGATATCCAATATCATTTGCAACAAGTACGTTCAGACAAGCTGATTTTGATGCGAGTCAGGGCGGAGATGGCTGGAAACGATTAATATGTTCATCAGCTTAAGGCCGCAGGGGTGGAAGATCGCATTCATGTAATTGATAAGCCCATTTTAATTGGAAATCTTCATAGCTTCTTCACGTTAGGTGCCCCATAGGAAGGACCTGTATAATGGGCTCGCCAATGCGTTACAAATTAGGGGAATCTATGAAGCAGATTTCTCTCTCTCTCTCTCTCTCTCTGCGGAGAGTATCATACAAAGGTATCGGCCCTGCTTCGATACAACATCCGAGTTTAATCAGCGTCCCTCAACAGATCGATAGGGTATATAGCGTGCAAAGAATCGAAATCGCAAAACTGCGCGACCTAAAGAAGAATCCCCAAAAGATACTCGAACCAGGGCTCCGCTCTCCAGCCCTGGCTTCGAGTTCTCGCCTGAATGAATCGAGTGAAATCAATTCCAACGAACGGCTCTCGACCTACCCAGGAACATTTCCCGCAGGTTGTTTTCCTCTACGAACGTGACTCGGCGATCGCGCACCGAGTAAAGGCCGTGGCACAAAGAAAAATTTCAGCAGTAAAACTTGAACAGTAAGCAAATCAGCCAACAACATTCAAGAACTTAAGGCACAGTCCTAAGCGGTGTAGCGAATCTATAACGTTAATTTCCTTACTACTTGAGTTTTTCTATGTGCCACGGCCTTAACATTCCACGCTTTGCGTTAAATATTTACGCTAAACATTCAAGCCTTGACAGGGAAGACTCTCAGGGAATCTCTCTCTTTCTCTCTCTCTTTCTCTCCGAGTCTCTGCGTCCTCGCGAGCACGTCGTGCGGCCGCCTGCGAACGAAACCGTCGAGAGGATTATCCGAGAGGACGATTCGCGACGAAGGCGGCGTCTCCGTCGGTCCGACGTCGACGCAAAGATTCCGCGATCGGAAACGCCGGCAGACAGAAGTCCGTCTGTCTTCTTCTCTCCCTAACTCTCGCTCTCTCGCACTCACCTGTCTTCATGAATAGCGTGTGCTCGAACGCAGCGGCGCCCGGGCGCACTCGCGCGGCCGAACGACGTGTCCCTCCGTCGCCGTCGTCGTCGTCGCCGCCGTCGTCGTCGTCGTCGAGCGGGCGCGCTCTCTATCTCCCTTCCTCTCCCTGTTCACGCGCGCGCGCGCGCGCTCCTCTCTCTCTTTCTCTGTCGCTCCTTTCGGTCTCGAAGAGACGACAGCGGGCCCGTCACCCAGGAAACCGCGCGCCGCGGTCGGCTCGTAGGGCTCTCGCGGCGCTCGCTCGCTCGCACACACGGCACGCCGGCACACGGAGCGACGAAAAGAGCGGGGCGACACACTCCGACGAACCCCCCGTATACTTTGTTGTGGACGGCTGGCCGGAGTGGTGTTGCTTGTCTGCTGCTACCCCGTCGCCTTGGCTACGGCATCACTGACCGCGTCACGCGCAGGGCCGTGCGCGGCGCGCCCGGCGCCACCGGGGGCATCCGTCGCGCGCGAAATCCGGCGCGTTTCGCTTCCTCCGTGCCGAACACGTTGGCTCCGGGAGTTCGTCGGGAAGGAAACGTCGAGTTCTCTTTTCCTCTCTCTTTCGCGTACGCGACCCCTTTTGTCTCTCGCTCAATCGGCGAGCGCGAATTTCGCTTCCACGCGTCCTTTTGGAGAATTTAAATTGAGGTATTTAAATTGCGAAATTTGACTCGTCCGTCGTTATGTTTCGATATCTTGCGACACATTGGAGGGAGACATCAAAGTCCGTAGCGGTCGATTTCGAGAAGCTATACGGATTGTGACTCGAGATGAATTTAAATACAAGATTGCCTTTAAAGATATGTCAATTTCCCTATCTTTATCTCCCGATTTTAAAACGATCTTTCTTTTTGCTACAACTCGAGGAATCGCATAGACCGTGAAAACAACGTCGTAAATCCGAATCTTTGAAGGGGACTGCCGCGTGCGTTTCGCAACGCGAATGGTATGCGATTTTGAAATTAGCGCCGTGAGATAGGCCCGCGGGCCACCCAGGTAGTAATTAATGTCTAAAAGACATCATAAAGACATCTTTAAGATTTCTGGCATCTTAAAGACATCTTTATGATGTCTTTTAGACATTAATGCTACCTGGGGCAGCTTGTCGCAATTTCGAAAGGGGGAAAATGCGACGGGGGGGTCGAGCGTTTCCGCTCTGGGTTACCTATTCTTGAAATCGTTATGAAACGAATTCGTTTATGAACAAAAAGGTGGGAATTTGCTAGTTGAGCGCCAATTTCGCTTCCACGCGTCCTTTTGGAGAATTTAAATTGAGGTATTTAAATTGCGAAATTTGACCAATGGAAACCCCCAGTTAACGCACCTTTTCGTTCATAAACGAATTCGTTTCATAACGAACGATTTCAAGAATATAGGTACCCTGAAACCCGCAAGTCGAGGGGTGGTTTGGTGGAACGCGATCGGCCGGCCGATAATGCACGAACCCTTTTTCGATCGCTGTCGATTACGTCGATTGGCGAAGGCGCGTGTCATAAATGCGGCTTTCCGGCGCCATCTGTGTCGCCCCTACGCAGATTCTACGTCAATGACGTAACTATAGGCGCCCGCTGCTCCGATTTTTTGTCTCTTCCCTATCCGCGCTCGAGAAGTGTCCACGGACTCTGATTAATTTGATCGCATATATATATTAATTTATAAAACTATAAACTATACTGTACTTTTTTTATTGAACTGATAATTTTTCATTATTCAACAAATAATAATTGTAAAAAAAAAAAGATTAGATTGGGGATAACGTATTGTATAATTAAAAATTTTGCAATTTGAATTAATCAACAATCATTTCATGTCCATTTCTACCAAGGTGGATTAAATTCAATCTCGATTCAATTTACTTTTTATTTTTATCTAAATACCCATTTCTATATATCAATGCAGATTAACTTTTATCTTCTTCTAATTCTTAGAACTAGAAAAAGATAAAAAGTTAAACCGAGATTAAAGTCAATCTACATTAGTAGAAATGGACATAACTCGCCGGTTCTACAATACGTCGCAAACGATGGCAACTGCTAGTTGAAAAGTGTTAATTTTGATTGCCGATTGCCAGTTATTGTCGCCAAAAAAGTTTAAAAGTTCGCCAACTCTCTTTCGACAACCGCTATTGACAACCGCGATGTGGAAATACCGAACATTTTTCAACTAGCAGTTGCTATCATTTGCAACGTATTATAGAACCGGCTTTAGAACTAGAAAAAGATAAAAAGTAAATTAAACTGAGATTAATCTACATTGGTGGAAATAGACATTCGAATTAGAAAGAGATAAAAAGCAAATTAAACCAATATTAAAATTAACTTAAAGAAAGAGATGAAAAGTTAATCTATATTGGTGGAAATAGACATTTGAGCTAGAAAGAGATGAAAAGTAAGTTAAATCAATATTAAAATTAACTTGTATTGGTATAAGAATGGTTATTAAGGGTTAAAATTAATCCACATTGTTATAAATTGACACAAGTAAATTCACGAAAGCGAAGAATTAGGAAAGCGAGGCTCGCGAAGACGATCGGCCGGATCGGCGACTTCGATGAGTGGATCGATCTTCCATCACTTATGTCGCGACGAAGAAAAGAGAGTATTTGCGCAAGCGGGACACCCACCGAAGTTGGTCAATATAAAAAAAAAAAAAAAAAAAAAAAAAATACGAAATCGCTTACACAACAATGATCGGTTTCCAACGAAGTAGCGAGGTATGCCCGACCAGTGGCCGTACTGCCCGTTCTCCGCCGGCGTCGCGACGAAGTCTAGGCTCACGTAGAAGGACGGCGGGATGACGTAGTCGGAGTTCGCCATGCTCCTGATCTCCATCCACATTCTCTGCGGATCCCACGAAAGAAAATCCATCGCCGGTACCCGGAGATGCCGTCTTCGCGCGAGATGTAACCACCATGTATGCGGGAGGACTTTTCCTCTTCCTCCTCCGAAAAAAAAAGACGATCTTCGCCGCGGCCATGATAACAATCGCGGATCGCCATCGATTTTCGCACGCCATCGTCGCGCGTTTTCATCTCGGAGGACTTTCGAGAGAGCAGGACGAATTCTCGTCGAGAACGTCACTCAAAATTTCGAAAGGCGATTTATTCATCCCCGGAAAACGCTGTTGTTTCCCTGGGCGCGAACGAATTGCCGTGCATGTCCCAACCTTGATTGGGAAAGAGGGGGATGTGGGTCAATCGGACTCTCAACACGCCCGACGCAAAGTTGGCGCAGCATTTTGAATCGATGATCGATGCGCGTGTCGCGCGCGCGCGTCGTCTCGCTCGCAGCGGCGGATCGAGATGCTCGCGGGCCCCGAGCGGACCCGAGCCGAAATTATAGTAAGAATAAGAATGTAAAAACGACGCGATCTCATTCAGCTGAAAACACGAAATAATCCCTATTCATCTTTATCAAGTGAGAGTTGATCAGAATTAATCGCCCTAAAATTAATTGACTTATAATTATTCAGCCTGAAATTATAAAATCGTCCTAAAATGAATTAATCAGCCTGAAATTAATCGCCCTAAAATTAATTAACCTGAAATCAATTAGCCTGAAATTAATCGACTTAAAATTTAAATAAAATTCGGCCCAAAATCGCAGAAAGTTAAACAAATCGAAGTGTCGTCGACGATTTAACATTAGTGAAGAAAAACTCGCATTGCTAATGTAACATAATAAAAGTATAAAGTGAAATAATCGGCAATGCATACAAATTAGAAATAAAATTTATTTGTATAATAATAATGGGACAGATAAAAGAAGATCCCTTCGTGCACCCCCTCGCGATGATACGTCGCTCGCGCAGCGTCTGCGCGAAGCTGTCAACAGTTGTCTCGCGAAGACCAGCAGTAGACCAGCGAGGGCAGCGAGGACGGCTGTTATCAGCATTATCAGCCGCGTTGTCTCCTGTCAAAAAAAAAAAATGATGTCGGAAACGTCAGAGGTGGAGAACCCGGGAGGCGAGAAGGGCGCCGAGGACTCGGCGATCCTGGAGGTGAGCTCCATGGCGGTGGGCGGGATCGTGAAGCAGGAGAGCCGCGACGTCGACTACCTGTCCAACTGCAGCACCTCCATCGAGGGATCCGTGGTACGAGCGTAACATAACCTGGGACACCCCACTTTGACAGTTCCCCAGTGCCTTACCAGGCGTCTGTTGCCCTGGAAGAAATCGATAAGTTAGAATTGCAGTAAATAACATTAACATATGCGAAAGACCGTAGGCGATCCAGACTCAGGTTGATCTTGATCATCATTTACTGTTAATGTTTTTTTTTTATCATGAGTCTAACTCTGAGAGTTCCATATTGATTGATTGTTAATCGATAAATATCAAGGGACTTCTGCAATCTTACAGGTCGCGTCTCCTTCCATCGACAGCTTCTCCACTCTGCCGGATCAGGAGATATCGGACTTCCAGACGGACTCGCGAGACCTGCAAGTGAAAGTGGACAATCCACAGAAGCATCTGGAAACTCTGGAGACATATATCACATTCCGTATAACGACTAGGGTACGTACGGCTTCATTGCAGAAGTATGATTTCAATTATCTGATTCTGAAGTTGAGACATATGTTGTAATATCATATCAAAATAATCCTGCAGACTACACGTCCGGAGTTTGAGGAAGGAGAGTACGTAGTTCGCAGGCGATACAATGACTTTATTTGGCTGCGCCAGAAATTAGTGGATGTCTATCCGACACATATTATACCGGTAAGTTTTTGTTATTTTCAATGCACATAATATATGTATGTGGTATGCGATTTATATAATGAAATAAAATGTATATTAAATATAATTAAATGAAATGTATTTTAAATATTTAGAATATTAATTGAGAAGAGGTCAAAAGATTGGTTACAAATCTTGGATTTTGTTACAGCCGATGCCGGGCAAGCATACGCTGCTCGCCCAACTGGATCGTTATTCCAAGGAATTTATCATAGCGCGTATGAAACTTTTACATATATTCCTGAACAGAATAGTGAACCATCCCATTCTCAGCTGTGACAAGAATCTCTATATTTTTCTCACGACAAAACCTTCAGTAAGTATATGATATATAGCATCGTTATAGCAATACCGTGTCAGTTTTTAATTGATATTTAAATTGCTGTTTAAATCAATTGCAGGAATTTCTTGTTCATCGCAAAAATCGCGGGAACGTGCTCGGAAAAGTGACCGACTCCTTGCAAAACATAGCGAGCACTTATACGATGAAACAGCGTCACTTGGAGTTCGAACAGATACGGGACTATTGTACAGCGTTGGGTGAAAAGTTGTCGGCTATAGATAAGATCAATCATCGCATACATAAAGAAAGGCAAGGTGCGCACAAAAATTGTTCATAAGTACATATCGTAATAAAATAGCTCTCTCGGTTGTTTCTCACATTGTACATTGTAACGCAATAGATTATTTATTGGAGCTTCATCAACTGCATCCCATATTCACGCTGTGGGCAACCTCGGAACCGGAACTCGCCCCCATTTTATTGGCGATCGCTAAAGCGGTAGAAACGAACACAATGGCTCATCAGAAACTTCTGGAGGACGTTCCTAACGATGAACGCGAGTACGTTTCATATGTCGAAGCGGTCAAGAGCGCATTGTCCCGGCGCGACTCGATGCAGATCGAATACGAGATAACAGTCGACGTATTAGCGAAGAGAAGAATAGAAAAGGATCAGGTATAAATCTCGCTTATATTTTCCTCTTTTGTAATCTCCTCAGATTGTAATTAGTCAAAGAACCATAATGTATCTCCAAATGTATTAATAACGACTTATATTATTTTTCTGATATAAATGTGATATAAAGTCTTAGATTTTTAAATGTAAGGAGATTAATCAACATTACCATATTGCTAGAAAGGAGGACAGATTTATTAATTACATTTAATTGCGTTCATACAGCTGGTAGGAAATACGAGTTATATGATTCCTGCGCAAGGCTGGGGCGGATCTCTATGGAAAGCGGAATCTCGCGACGAGAAATTGGAGAGGCTCGGCCAGACCATCCCGCGATTGGCTAAACAAGCGGAGATACTGCAGGATCGCGTGGAGTGCGCGAACGAGAGTCTGCGAAGCGATTTTCAGAGGTGGAACGTGGAGAAGCAGCAGGATCTGAAGAACATGCTGATTGCGATGGCGGACCGACATATCAGACACTATCAGCAATGCATGAACGCGTGGGAGGATATTCTCACCGGCCTCAAGTTGGACGGAATGGGATCTGACGTAAACGTAGGGCCGCCTGTCAAAATACCCGTTTGAACCGCTAGTCTTTTCGTCACTCAGAAGGATATAGAATAAATATTCGTTAACACGAGAATATTACACCAGTTTAAAAAATTCTATTAAATAATGACACAAAGTTTATTACAATCTAAAAAAAAAACAATCTATCATCAGCTTCGGTATCATTGCTTTTGAAATTGAATCTCGTCGTTTTGAAATAATCTCGAAAGAAGATTATGCAATATTTGCGAATCGCAAACGGCCGCATTTAATGACGACGAAAGCTGCATTTAATGTACAATGTAATACGCTAATATCAAAATTCTATTCGGAGAATTCGCCTTTATGATACAATAACATTGTGATAACGTGAAAAATTAAGTATAACGCATTTGATCCTACATGCATGTAGGACAAGTTTCGTGTATATTATGTACAAGAAAAAATTTTCCGACGTTCTTTCTTTAGAGGTTTAGATCATCGATTAATTTTTGGGACCAAAGTATATCGAGGCAGTTGTCGGTATTCCCTTCACTCTCTCTCCCTCTCTCTTTCTTACTTTGAATCACGTTACGATACATTTATTGACAATCAGTTTAGTCATCTATATCTACTAGTTACCAAAGTACAGTAGTTACCATGATAGCGTAGATAGCGTCAATGTATAGTATACAGCACTGGTAAATTTTACAAATCGGAGCAAAACGCTTGCGAGAGCTTCGTTGTATCGTTAATTAGTACCTTTAATCTATGCCTCTAAGTTATGAACAAATCGCACCGCACAGAGACGATTCCGCTTAGTATTGTGGCAAAGAAAAAAAAAAAGACGGAACGAGAGTCCTATATGGCTTATACATTCCTCTGCGTATCCGTTATTTATGCTCGAAAGGGAAGATACTCTTTGCTGCTAACAGTATTGTTAACAATGCGGAGTACATTTCTATACATTTATGCGCCGCGACTCGGCGAGTTAGCAAACATGGCGGAGTTTGTATCAATAAATAAATTATTGTTTGCAATTAAATGCGATGATTCCTGCGGTCTTCCTCACTCCATTAAGGCGTCGTTACGTTCTACGTAACACTCCATCGGCGTTATGTAGAACTGCACTAGATTGTCCAGATCGGTGAGCTTGGTTAAAGACTCGCCTGCAACGGACTTTATGTATGCGATTGTCTTAATAATTCAGTAAATTTGGGAGATACTGACCTGCCAGGCTCATCTCATTATGAAGAAAGCGTACTGTGTGTGCGTACGGTTGTTGAATCCTTTCTCGCAACTGTGTGGCCAAGCGACGGGTCGGATTCCACAATTGGCTACGAAAATTCGGTATGTTTGTGATGGTCAGCTTCCAGGATTCCGGCTTTACCTCTTCCATTGGTAACACGTCCGTTATCCTGTATTGGCTCGTGTCGATGTTCCACGTGAACTTACATCCGACCTCGTATTGCTTCCTCTCTTGCGAACTGGATGCATCGTATTAATTTATCGAAACTGTATATTGTTTAAGTGGTAACTTTAAAACGTAACGTGCGACAGTTAGTGCAAAGGAATAATCAACGACTAAGAATGTAATTCATACGATGACATATGTGCTTACCATTGCGTTTGGCTACACAACTCACTTGCTTGGATTTTCATTATGTGCAAACATATAATGTCGCCGCTAAGCGCGCACACGTCGATTATTTCGATATCGTAGTCGCTGCAGTGCCAATACTTTTTCTTGAATCTCGAGCAGATCCAATCTGCTATGTGGTGAGAAAAGGTTTCGATATCGAAACTCAATTGTGTTATAGAAACACATGGCACTATCTGAAAGTATTTTCATTATATTAGAGATACGTTAACATCTTACTCTTTCACCGATTAAATCTTAAATTATCTAGAGATACGCTTCGCAAAAAGTCACATTGCGAAAGTTTAAATGTTTTAGAAGAATAACTACCAGTTTTTCCGCTTTACTATTGCTGATCATGTGCATTTGAACATATCCGGAGCCATGCACGTGCATCGGAAGTACATACTGGTAACTTACATAGCCCCCTGTCTCTTCATCTGCAAACATTGTCTCAATATAATACTAATTACAATTAAAACATGACAATAATATTCAAAAGTAAAATCCATGTAAATTTGAATGTATATATACATACCTTCCACATCTGTTATAACTGATATCATTTCATCGTCAAGCTCTATGTAGCTCCGTTTAAAACGCGCTGTGCACTTTATCAAAGGGTACTGCAAGTTATTTCTAGGAACCAACGGCGAGAAATTCGGGCAACACTTGCCGACACGGTCTCTATGCACGCTCCCGTTAGACAGCTGATTCTGATTCAACGGTCGTAGTACACTTTTCTCAGCTGGAAAAACGTATAAGGTTTGTATATCACTTTATTCAAACTCTCGTTCCGCTTCGATAACAATCGTAAGATCATACCTGATTCGGTACTCAAGTCGCTGGCTACGCTAATATCTTGAGCAACTAGATTCAATTCGTCCGGTTCGCTCTGATCCGAGTCGACCCAATGCCTTCGGCCGTTCGGCAGAACCGGCGACATTGCCGGCGAGGAGGGAATCTGGTGTATGGAGCAGGTACCGCGATGCCTGAACTGATCGCGTATGTGCTTGAAAGGAACTATGTTCTCCGCGTCCTCCGTCTCGTCGCAAAACTCGTACTTCTTGTCGGCGAGTCGGCGCTTCCTGAACGAGCTGAGCTTCTCGCAGGTCGTCTCCTGCGCCTCGTCCGTGAATTCGTACGCCTTCTCCGCCTCGAGGGTGAGCTTGTGCGTCGCTCTCGTTGTCCTCGTCGACTGGGCCGGGACGGGAGGGGGTGAGTGTAGATTCGATCTCTTGCGCGGGCTCGGATAGCGAAACGATCGAGCGATGGGCGGCGACATCAAGCGAGATGAATACGAGGACGAGGGACTGATCGACACGGACTGCAACGGCGAATTTATGGAAGCCACGGAGTTGTCCTGTTGCGAGGCACCGGGTTGCGGCGAGCTCGGACGTTGCTGGCTGCTACCGCTATTACGCTGAACCTGGATTCTGTGACTAGATTCCGAATTGCGTGTGCGCAGGATGTCCGACGGCGGGGTGAGTATCGGCGACGACCACGTCATCGCCTTGAGATCAGCGGGCAATCTCTGCGGCGTCGAGCGCGGCGAGCACGACGGATGTTTCACCAGCGTGATGAGATCGCTGCCGATATTGAGCTCTTGCGACGTGTCCTCGCAGAAATCCTGCAGGATCTTGTCCCGTACCGAGATGGCCGTCTGCTCGACGACGGCCGGCCGCGATACGGGGCTGCCGCCGCTGCTATTCCAGCACTTGCATTCAGCCATGTCCGAGCATTCGCACAACTTAACGACGTTTAAAGCGCCTGGAGCGGTAGACTTACTATTTATATCACAGACATAGTCGCTTTGATTACTGCTTGAGGTATTTAATGGCAAATCGCGTCCTAGCTTATAGTCTAACTTAATTGTCTCGTCTAGAAAGTCATGCTCTAAGCTGGATTCGCATTTGGGAGATCGATCGACGCATTCCGGCGTGCCCACTTTCTCGTCCGAACTCTCGTATCGTTCCGCTCTCGTCGTGTAGTCCGTCTCTTCGACGTCGCTCATGTCCAGCGGGATCGTATCCGGAACCACGGGATCGTGCATGACACTATCCTGTTTATCGCACGCCCTCTGATTCTTCGATTTAGGTATATTTAAATCTACCCTGAGAACATGTAGGAAGTTTCCCGTGTTTATCACCACGTGATTCCAATAATTCAGGCACACCGTGGCACGAAACTTCGGATACGGTGAGATTACTTCATAAGTCGTGTGAACCGTAAGGCCATGTTGCAAACAGTTACATCGTACACAGCTATCCCAATTCACGGCTAAATCTATCACAAGGTGCATAATTTTAATTAATCCTATTACAGTCACGCTATTACGAGTATATTTTGTATAAAATGTTCCGCCTAAAAATATATCGTAAATTATTTCATTACCTTCACCCTCTTCCTCGTACGATGCGGCAACTTTCAGACAATCTTTGCAGTTTTCCAGAGACGGCACTGTCGTTATAGTTAAATACGCTTTATCAGTCGGTTGCAAATGTAAGAAATTTGTACTGTAACGAACAAATAATATTACTGACTTTCGCGTATTTTACTTTGAAGACTTCATAGGAAGACAATTCAAGTGTATGTACCAGAGGCCGTGAATTACAAGCTTATTCCGCTCCATCGGCCATTGCGATATAATTATGTTTAATTCCCTATAAATTGTATAATTGCCGAACAATGTAACTTCGGCGACTTTGCGAGCTGCACGGTTGGGCGTGAAGGCCCACCAGTGCAGCAGGTATTTGTACAAAGACGTGTTGCTGCTGACGTCCAACGTGTATGTATACGTGAGCAGGAACTGGCCACATTGCGTCAATCCCATAACAATATGCCTGGCAAAACGAAAATATCTTTACAATGCCGTTTACCTAAACTAGAACAGGACTATTTTGACATTTATGTTTCTGCGTGTTGGCGAGTTAACGTTAGACACTTGCCATTTAACCCATTTCTTATCCAATTTGTTTCTCTCAATTTCTATAAAGAAATCTTGAAGCGCTTGCGACAACAATTTTCATTTCTTTTACCTCATCTAAACCAAACTACGCCCAGCAAACCCCAGCTAACAGTGACATTACGTCAATATTATAATTTCCCACTGGACAACATAAGTGTAATATAATACATGTTGCACGTTACAGTTACGTTGTTGAGTAAGAAATTATAATATTGATATAATGCTACTGTTAGTGTTTGCTAAATGGCTATGTGATAAGAAATGAGTTAAATCAAGTCTCTATGTACTGAATCGACGTTATCCATGCGTACCCCGCTTCAAGCGCCGACTTTGGGATTATGTGCAGAAGATGGAAGTGCCGCCACTTAGGTACGGCTGTGAACAGTCTCTCCTCCGAGGCGTAATTGTGCGCTGACAGACATCCTCTCATCTGCAAGCAGCAAAATCATGCAGTCAATGTTACAGCAACATCCTGAGTACAGGCCCCGCAACTGTCTACGTTCAAAACGTTCCAACGAGACTCCCTGAGCGTGAAACGGACTTTCCGGGACGCTGCCAGGCCGAGAGCTCTCAAGATATTGAAAAAAAAGAAGAAAAAAAAAGAAAGCTTGAAGCTCGCGCGTCTATGGAGTTTTTTTTACCGCGGTTTAACGCGAACTGGCACCTCGCTCGAGGTGAAATGGATCAAGGCGGACGAACGAGACCGCGTTTCTTTACGAGATCTCGCCGGTCTCGTCGCGGTCAAGGAGTCGTTCTTGACAGTTCGAGGCGCGGTGCATCGAGGCCTGTCACTCACGACGCGACTCGAATTGTCGCGCGACTTTAGACGGCCCTACCTCCCTTATCAGCAACTTCTGCAGAAGGTTCCGCTTGCTGCGACGGTGCGACGGGCACGGCTTGCGTCCCACGACGACATACTCCGACTTTTCCGACGTAATGTCAGAGAAACACTCGTTGCAGCAGTCCGAGGTAGTGTCGGAAGACGACGCGTCCGCCATTTTTAAATAACCTCGCACGGCTCGTGGCGTCGAGTACGCTCGCTCCTCGCGTGGAGCACGGCCACGGTTCACGGTTGGTGTGCGGAGTGCAGAATGTGCGGTGGTGTGCGCGGCGCGCTCGTCTCTCGTCTCGCTCGGCGAGTCGGCGGCGGAAAATGAAAAGGGTCCGGGGTCGCCGCCGCGACGGGCGACGGGCGCGGGGATCGCTCCGATCCTCCTCGCGCGATAAGTGGCGAGTGGCGACGCACACGCGTGCGTGCGACGTGCGTGCGTGCGTGCTGGCAGTGGCGACACGTCGCCGAGCATCCTTTGCGTCTTCGCGTATGTAAATGTTCGCTCGACGCGCAAACCGACAGCTTATCACGCGCCAACGTTACGCCCGCAATTTGCGGGCCTCCTTGATAACGTGAACGCGACTGTGGTAATCTTTCTTGATTTTCCTCTTATTGCGGGCTTTAAATTGTCTGTTAATTTCTCTACGATCGAACGGGTTGCGGACCAAAAAACGCACGTTATGCGTTACATCCTTTTAATAAGAAGGAGTAATTTTGATTCTTAATTAGTTTCATGTAAGGAGAAATTCAGCGAAATCGCGAAATTGAAATGAAAAGATTTCGCTGGGTTGTTATAAATAATAAATACCTTACCTTATATATACTAAATACCTTATTTTTAGGTATGAAATACATCCATGAAGGTAATCAGCTTTAGAGACCACTTTTCTCGGAGCACTGTTTATTGCGAATAAAACGAAATGGACATCACCTTGGATGATAAATTGTCCGCGCTGCAGCAGATCAGTCAGCAGAAGCTTGTGAAGATACTCGATACCATTCCAGGAACGAAAGATCTGATAATAGAACAACAACTGATGAAGATACTGGATAGTTTTGTAGGCGTAACCGTATTGAAGTTAATGTCCTTATATTCTAAAATACACCTACGTTTTATTTTTATTAACAATCCATACTAAACTGTGTCATTTTATAATTAGGCGATATGGTGTGGACAAGATTTATAAAATGGAGGAAGGACTGAAGCCGTCGAGTAGTCAACGTATATTCTTAGTGTCTAACAGCTTGATAGCGTGCAAGAGGGTTCTAGATCAAGTACAATCCGAAATATCTCTCATTGGCAGACCTCACGTCGAAGTGTGCCATCATCTGTTGGTCATGCCGTTCGTTCCGCCTGTGTTATACAATCTAGTCGAAGAGGAAGGTCAGCAAATTACCGCGCCAACGACGGTCATTACCTGTTCCTGTTTAATCTTTAATCTTTATAATATCGAATCGTTTATTCAGGCTTGTCCGAGCTGATTACGTTGCGAACGTTATCTGCAGAATTCATAAGATTAGACGGGAACGTTTTGTCCTTGGAAAATCCAATATTTATCGACCTCTACTATCACAAAGACCCCAGTCCTCTGCGAGCATTAGCGCGCAACCTGTGGTCGTTGCAGCTGATAATCGGCTCGCCGAAGCTCTCGCTGCTTCTCGGCAAGCACAGCCAGCAAATGATCAAACTGATGGAATCCATGGAACAGAGTCTGGGCCCGTCTAGTTTGGAAAACGAGATCGGCGCCCTGATCGTGATGGACAGGGGTTTCGATCTGGCTACGGCTCTCCTCACGCCCGTAACGTACGCAGGCTTGTTGAACGAAGTCGTAGAGGTAAACGTCGGCACGGCGACGTTGGAAAAATCGCAGACCAGATTGGATCCGAATAAAGATCAGATCTACGGGGAAGTGAGAGATATGCCCTGCAGCGACGTCTTCCCGATTTTACACGGGAAGGCCAAGTCACTTAAATGTATTGATTTTTATCATTAATTATCGCGCCTCTCGCCTTGTCGATATTTTTAATAACTGGCCTAACATCAGCTGAACAGGAGGCGGTACAGATGATGAAGTTGACCGAGATGGAGAGATATGTGTCGACGAGATTGCAAAGGACTAGAGACACGACCCGGCAATTGGCATTTCACATATCCGCGTGCCAGACCATCGCGGACACGTTAGGCTCCGAATTTCAAGTCTTGCAGACGATCGAGAAACTGATGCTCGACTGCAAGGACCGGAAGGAATGTTTGAGCTATATTGAGAGAAACATAGGTGTGCATTCTTAAATTCTAGAATCAATTAAATTAAAACTATATCTAATCGCGGTCGCTATCAGAACTAAATTGGGATTAAAATATGACTTAATTACGATTAAAATGTGAAATACTTTTTTTTTGCAGACGAACATGCGTTACGATGTTTGCGTCTTCTGTGCTTGTTGTCTATCACCACCGACGGTATCACGCAGAGCGAGCTTCAAAATATCCAAAAGCTGCATCTCCATACCCACGGTTATCAGCATATCCCGCTGTTCTACAAGTTGCACACAGCCGGCTTGCTGAAGTATAGAAACGAATATATTTTACATAAACTGCCGAACTGGAGCAGCGAATGGAGCAGCAACGCGCAAAAATTGAAGATCTTACCCAGTTATTCCAAACGGACTGATCAGAACGGACGTACCTGTCCTAGCTACGTGTTCAACAACGTTTATATACCCGCAATAGTTCGTATTTCATTCTTTTCGTATTATGAATCAAGCGATTGTGGGATATTAACGTAATATCGTTCAACGTATTACAGGCGCAAATATTAAACATCGTATCGAATCAGGAGAAGGATCCTCGTAGCTTTGACGATTTGACGAATTTACCAAATTGTGTGGTAAATGGTCGTCGGGGTGCGTTATCGCCAAAGATGGTCGTGATTTGCGTGATAGGAGGTATTACTTGCGCAGAAATAACGGCTTGTCGACTCATAGAGAAATCTACAGGAATACGCCTCGTCCTTATATCCGATACTATTCTAACGGGTAACAAACTCATCCAGAGGATACAAAAGATATGAAATCTCGTGGCATCCATCAGGAATGTAAAAATGTTATCTTTTCGTATAATAAATAGACAAATAATTTCATACATATTTATTTTATATAAATTATAAATAACACCTTTTTTGTGACGATTGCAGGAAAAAACACGAATAATTCTGCAATGTATCAACAAATTACAATTGTTGTTTGTATATAATGTCATCGGTATTATTTATGTATTGGTGCTTACACGATTACAATGTTTCGACCTCTGATTTCTCATTTTGCACCGTTTTAATATTGATATTATCATGTACTTAATAATTACGATTCTCTTCTCGATTACGATCACGATCGCGATCACGATCGCGTCTCTGCCGGCCCCAATCCTGTCCTTGGCGATTGTAATTCTGACGATCGCGGAAATTGCCTTGGTTTCCTCTTGAGAAGAAGTTACCTGCAAGTATTTATTTTTATTATGAACTAAAAGATTATTTTAATTATGCATTATAATATAAAATGAAAAAATTATAATATAATATAAAAATAATATAAAATATAAGTACATGAAAAACAAAAACAACAATTTAAATAGAACATATTGCCTTGGAATGAATATAATTAATTTATAAATTTTGCAAAAAATTGATCTATTTAATTGTTAAAATTAAATACATTTTTGATAGTACTCGAGTCAATGATCTTGATCTTGATGATATATCAAAGTAAAGATTATCAAAAATACTTCATCCATCTATATACATACCTTGCTTCATTTCGAAGATACGTTCGTTCGAATCTACAAAGTTGTTGACTTTATCCGTCAACTGCAGAGCCAATGATTGAAGGCGGCTTGGCTCGCTTCGATGCATAACTACAGTTCCAGTTGGATCGTCCAAAGATGCCTAAATTTGTAAAACAAAGAAGTACATAAGTTATAAAGAATATTACGTAAATCATTGAACAACATAAAAATATTTCTGCCAAAATACCATAAGTTCCTCGTTAATGATCATTTTACTGATAATCGAATGGACTATGGGCCGCTTCAACTGGAACATGTCCGCGAGCTTCGGCATCGAGATCGAATCATATACATGCGAGTACGTGAACAGGTAAGTCCTCAATGCCTCTTCTTTGATCAATCGCGTTAACATAGCTCGCACTTTATCCGCTTGATGGAAGAGATCCCACACCTATTTCAATAAAACGTAATTACTACATCGTATTCTGCATTTGAAAAAAAAATTGCTAATGTAAATCTCGCGCTAATACCTTTGCGTTCATCTTTTCATTTATAATGTAATTGTTGCAAGCGGACCAATTTCCGTTACGCATCGCTTTGGCAGCGGCAACGACGTGCTCCCTCATAGATTCCGGAGGTCCGACTAACGATTGGCGTTCGCTGGACCGCAGTTGCTGGTAAAATGTCTTCGAAATCATTCTCCGTCTCGCATCGAACTCGTGCGCTAGAATTAAATAATTTGTCGCGTATAATGCAATGCGTCTACGCAATCGTAAAAATACACTAAATGTATTTTATATAGAAAATATCAAACATAGAAAACATACCAGCCATGTACGGAATTTCGATGAGCATTGCTGAAACAAGATATACACATTCCAGAAGCTCTAGATTAATATGCATGTGGAAAGGCATTTGCCTTTGCTTTTCGATCTTCTCCTGCTCCTTGCTACGCTCGTGCTGCCGTTGCGGAAGCAGACCTTGCGCCAGAAGTTCCTTCACTTTGCCCGTCACCATCAAATCGACCAAGCAGTTGTGGGCATCTTTAATATTCGCATGACGGAACGCACATAATCCCAGATGGGCTATCGTACGATTGTATAAAATCTAAAAAATAAAATACATTATTTATACACGTTTTAACGAGATAATTGTAAACGCAGATACACATTCAAACCTGTGTGGCTGGATCAGAATGTTGAATAGTTTCCTGGAGATGCGACATCAGAATCAAGTCGCGAGCTTGGAACCAGTTATCGTGAAGAGCGTGGTGATAAATGTGCGAGAGAATCGCGCGAGTTCTCAACCGATCAGTGTTATCGTGGGCATAAACGTATTTGCATAGTTTTTCCATAACTTGCACGGATGTGATTGCGTCTGATCCCAGTTCACCCTAACGCACATTTGATTATTTTGACAATTTAATAAAATAGGAGAATTTTATACGCACATATATATACTTTGCAAGATTTACCTCCTTTTGTTTCAAAACATTCGAATCAAATTTGTAATACATGTGTTCGATTTTACGAAGATACACGCGGCAGAGCTCGGACACAGTTCCTTGCCTCTCCAAATATTCTTGAACCTTGTCAATTATGGCAGCAACCTGCTTCTCATCTTTCAATCTGTGACAAGTAGATATTTTATCGTATAAAAAATAATAATCGTAAGTATATTTCGCATCAATTTCTCTCAAAAGATATTACCTTTCCACGTATTCATTACTGTGTGGATCACATTCCTTCAGCAACTTTATGAATTCCTCATCGAGACGTTCCACCAGCGTCAACACACAACCGTGCATTTTATATGGCGTCGTTTCAAACTCCTCCATTTCTTCCGTTATTGTTTCCGCTATTACCATGTCCGAGTTGCTCAGTAACATATCCAGCATCTCGGTAATACGCTCCAGTATTCTGTAACAAAAATATTTATCTATTTGATACTCGCTTACTTTAAATCTTCTATTTTAGACGGCTTATATATTTACATTACATACATATATCTATTTTATACGTACTTTGACCAATACTCCGGCTTCATAGCATCGGAAACCTTTGGATTGTAATCGAATATGGAAGACACAATGGAAAACTTAATCTTCACGGTTACAGCCGGGCCGAGAGTATGAGCGTCGGCTATCAGTTGTAGCTCGTGCAAGAGCTCTATTTGCTCGCGTCTGTCCGTGCGCTTTTTACCACGAGCTGCAATTATCTCGGAAAGTTTCTTCAGCACCGCACCGATATTAATTTCCGCGTCCTTAGCGAACATCTTCGGCTTCTCGGAGGGAATAGCCACGCCGCCCTTAACGGTTTCCCACTCTCCTTCGCCATCGTCTTCGTCGCGTTTCTTCTTTCGTTCTTTTTCTTTGCGTTCTTTACGTTGCTCCTTCCTCTTCGCTTTATCCTCGTCCTCCTCCTGAGCTAAAGCCCTATGTAAAAAAAATTATGGTGTCATAATATATCGTTAAATTTATTATTTTTTATTAAGTAGAAAATAATTTTATCCAATTTTGTAGATTGAAAGAACGTACTTCTTGATGAAACGCTCGCGAATATTTTGATATTGGCCTTCGTCATCGCTACTTGTGCTCTCACTGTCTGAATCACTGCCCCAATCAGATTCGCTTTCACTGCCGTCTTCGCCATCGGTCGCAGTCTTCTGCAATGCAACAATGCACGGAAAGATTTATAAAAAATTTGTTTGATCAACCTCCGGTGCTTGCAAATCTCGATCTAATAGACAACCTTGAACTTGGACACATCGGGTTCACTTGCTTCCGATCCCGCCTTCTTGAAAGCTACGGCACTGTTTTCTTCTTCTTCAGATTCTACAACCTCCTCGGCTGAAAAATAGAAATAATTCATTTTTTTCATCTTGCAAAGATTTGAACTTAAACAAGCGTTTATAATAAGTGTTTCTCATGGTAGTCAAACCTCTTTCTTCTTCCTCGTCGTCGTCCTGATCGGGATTCTCCCTAAATTTGGCGATGTCCTCCTCAAAGTCCTTGTTATATTTTCGCAATTTTTGACGCAACGTTGAAAGCGACTTGGAATTATTCTTGGACATATTCTTGCGTCCGTCGCGGTCTTCCCACACCTCGTTGATGAAATCTTCCATCTCCACCAAACATCTAACGTAGAATCGCGGTGTTTGTCCAAGCTCCTCCTTCGAGATAACTGGTAAAGCTTTCTGATAAGCTCGCATTAAGTCCTCAAAACCTAGAATTATAAGAACAAATACTTGTTACAATGGAAGCGCTTGATCACACCAACAGGTTTCTAAAGAAAGTTAACTAATAATAAAAATAAACAATTTTGTAACTTGCCAGTGATGATTAACGAATATATTTCAATTGTATCGACTTAACTGGCCACAATTTAGTATAAAATCACAACGTTTCAGCCCTTGGTTTGGGCACTTTTCAAGTGTAAACTAAATCAACGACAATTCTTACAGATAATTTAGGCTGCGTTTCAAAATTCACTGCCAATCCTGAATATCAATAATATACGTGACGTAAACTATAGATTTTCAATACCTGCAGTGAATATCGAAACGTAGCCTTAGTTTACACTTGAAAAGGGCCCAAACCAAGAACTGAAACGTAGTAATTTTATACTAAATTGTGGCCAGTTAAGTTGATACAATTGAAATATATTCGTTAACTAACACTGTACGTACTTGACCTTTACAGATCTAATTTCCAATTTCTTAAAACGTCAAAAGATTTGTGAAACTAAAACTACTTACTGGTCAACATGCTGCTCATGTCCTTAATCTTCTTGTAATTCCTAATAAGTTTTATAAGATTCGCAATTTCTTCATATCTCTTTTCCTTTGTGGAGCGCACAACCCGCTTTGTTTCTTCCTCGTCATCGCTGAACTGTAAAGAGATCCTTCGTGTTATTTTAATAACAGGACGACACGGTAGGAAAAATTTATTGATAAAAGTATGTTGAAAACGTTTGTCTCGGCTACAATACTCACAGTGAAAGCCGTCGCAGGCGCCCTTTGCACCTGCTCCTCCTCCGACGCGCTATCGGACTCAGAATCTGAGCCAGTTGCGAAGAAACGGCTCATGATTGCGAACGCTCTGTAACAATCAAGCAAAATATAATGAAAGGCGAATGTGTGTGTGTGTACACTCCCTAATTACATCGCAAAACGACGCAAAGCACCCTCGAGCCTGTAACTAATGAATATATATAGAAATAAAAAACTGATTCAAGCGTGTAATATGCAAGAAATGTTTAGCAACGTCGTACGTTTAACAAATATCAGGCGCGACGGCGCAACGCGGCAGACGCGATCTAACAATTTCGGAGCCACAAAGACAAGTCCGCATGTCAAACGTGTCATCCCGAACGTGTTCCCCCCCGAACCTGGATTCAACGTATGGCGGGACAAACTTTTCTTAGCAAAAGCGAATAACTCGACGTCCGTGAAGAGACGCGCGCGGAATAAATTCGGACAACGCGAGACGCGACCAGCAAACGAAATTCCAAATTACCTGTTTTCTTCCTCGTTGAAAGCAGATGCGTTGCGAGGTTATGGCGGTTAAGCGGTTATGCACCATACACGCAGGCGGCAGGCGGCGGCGGCGGCGGCGACGAATGGGAAGGTCACGTGACTACGTGACTCGTCACGTCACGTGACTCCAAGCATCGACGGCAACTGGCGACGGCTGCGCGGGCTGCGTTTCGATCGTCCCGATAATTAATTTTTTTCACAAATTTAAATATTTTTGGTGAATAAGAATTGTCATCATATTTTGTTGCGCACCAACTCGTTTTCAATCTTTAGACCTGTAATTCACAGCAAAATAAACAACTTTTTAAATTTTAATCAAGTTATCCCGCAAAATATGTGTGATATAGAAATCAATTTTTACATTCTTTCGATAAATTGTACAACATTTGTTATACTCTTTTTCTCTACAATAAATAAATTACCTTGTATGTTAGTTCATATTGACTTATTACTTTATAAATAAGAAAGGTGATTTGGTACGTTATGTTGATGTGTGTCAATTTAGATGCAGAATTGAATTTATTTTTTCCCGTGTTTCATGAGAGAACATTGTTTTGTAGCATCTATATATATTTCGGTCGTTATTAGATGCTTTTCTTCCCAGTCGTATAAATCTTTAAATATGGAATACGTAAAGTATATATATACTTTGGCGTAGAAAATAGAGTGCATGACATTATAAGTAGAGGCAACATCAACTATGGGTTCGTATCGATTTTTGATACCCAAACGCATCTAACGGAACCTGAGAAATAATTAAGTGAGTGTTATATTACCCAAATGTGAACTGTCTGACTCATAATTACCATATTTCAAATCTGCGGTTATGGAACTTAAAACAATCTGACAGCAGATTTATTTTAATCTCGGTTATAATGTAAGGTAAAAAATATAGGCAATTTAAAAATTGTATTTTCCAAATATCTGAATAAGATTGTACTTCTATTAATTTATCAAATACTTTTTCGAAATTTTTATTCCACATTATTAATTTTATAAATTCGTCACATGTTTGTTCTAATTTGGTTGCTAAATATTCTGGAACTTCAGTTAATTTTTACCATTAAAAATTAAGTCTGTATGACAAGACTTCTAAAACCAACATAAAAATCATTATTTTGATGCAACAAAAATTGTTAATAAAATTGTTACCTCAATTTCTTCATCAAAGCAAGTTGTCACATCTTCTTTCCAATTTTGAGTTTGTATACTTTTGTTTTTACAATAAAAAAATATGTTTTCCGAAATAATTCGAATACTGACGGTCCTTCTACTTTCTGTTGTAACTCTTCCAAATATAGAGTTTCTGTTTCATAAAGAACATATTTTACGTATTCGTTAAGGCAAACCTTGTCCAAGTTGATGGGTATACTAAACTTTCTAATTCACCAGTATATGCTAATATTTTTTAAACTATAATACAATTTCAGAAATAACACAGTGTGTGTATGTGTGTGAGTATTAATCAAAGTTAATATACTTTACCTTTCATCAATTTGCGTTTTATTTCTGTTCCTAAATATTCCTTCGTTTTCGCATCAATCATCGGCATTCGTTTATAATTTTGTAAAAGGAAAACATACCTAAACTCTTATTTTCAACCCATGGTTATAATTTACATTTGTGACAGAATATTCTGAACACATGTTTGAGATCTGTTGAGCGAGCAATTTAATTTGATAAGATGTAACTGTGCCAAGTAAATTCGACGATATAAATATCAAATTTGGATGTCCTATTTTTAAATACTTTGGTGAGATAGTTCGTGGAAGTACGCATATATTTTGTTTATCTAGGATTTTAAATATAATAACAAAAAAAATATAATAAATAAAAAAAAAAGAAAATTTATAATTAAAAAAAAAATTTATACGTGTGTGTTATAAAGTTGATAATTAAGTTGCAATTTAATTGATATATTACGCAAACAGACGATGTACACATGCATAGAATCCGGCACTACCCCTGTTCTCTCCCCGAAGGGCAGGGGGGTCTTCTCCCCTTAGGGGCTACTGGGTAAACCGAGCAAATTTTCGGGATCCCAGTAGTAGATTTCCCTACGTTAAAATATGGTTTCTATCGTTTTGTCACGATAGAAACCATATTGAATATTTTACATTATATGCATATAGTAAATCGTACACACATTCCTGCATTTTTATTGTGTATTATTTTCTGAAATTGTATTATAGATAAAAAATCTTGCAAATATCGACTTGATATAGACTATGCTTATTACCCATGCATCTTTATACTCAAATTGGGTACTAAGGGTCTTATCAATGTTTCCGATGTTTTCAGTTTTGATCTGTAATACAATTTCCGAAAATAATGCAATAAGAATGCAGGAATGTGTGCACGATTATTATGCAGATAATCTAATATATTATTGTCAATTGGTAACATTATTGGTAGTAATATAGCAGACGTAAAGATCATGGAGCACCTCGGAGTATTTTTGAAGTGTGCTGAAGTGGTTATTTTATGCAAATATCTTTTTATTTGGAAATGGCACGCAAAAATTCTCAGCGTGTCATTTCTCGCTTCTGACGTCACAATTAATCTTATGTGATAGCGGAAAGAGGCCAAGAGCCTTAATATAGTTTGCCTTAATATTTCGCTAAACAACTATTTCAAGCAAAAAAATGACCATCTGCCAAAAAAGTCAAATTACAAAAAAGAAAAAAGAAGATAAAACTGTTCGAAAATAAATTATAAATAAATGTGGATGTCTCGTTTTTATTAGGTATTAACTTCTTTTACAATCTAGTTCGCTAGATAATTTTTAAAAAGTAAATTGCAACATATATAATATATGTATATATATATCCCAAAAGGGTTAACAAAACTATTAAAATTATCATTCAATTGTATAGATGGACACATGCGGATATCTTTCCTTCCATACGTTAACCATACAATCGTCAATGTTACAATGTATGAGATGAAACTCTTGCAGTTTTGGACATTGTTCCAAAATAGTAAAACACTTATCAGGTGTAACAAGTTCCCCACAATAAAGTTGTAACTGTTTTAAGTTTTTGCACTGCGTTAATAATTTCAAATTGTGATCAGTGAGAACAATATTGCTTAAAGTAACTAATTCCAGGCGTTGCCAAGAAGAAAGTAATCTGTGCAAGCAAT